CAACATAAACAATTTCATTTCTAAAAAACACCTCACACTTCACACCATCGAGAAATATGACATAAGCGCCGCCTTATTCGTGGAAACCAAAACCAAGGAGAGCGACAATACCAATTTTAGGAACTGGAACATTCTTCGGCAAAACGGAAACACTCTTAATCGCAATACAAGAGGAGGATCCTTGGCTCTTATTCACCCTTCACTAAAAATGCGAAAACAAAACTCTCCTCGCATCAACAATCCTTGGAATAATTGCTTACATTTCTCAATTCCTTTTAAAGAAGACCACCTTCACATATTTCTTGTCTACATCCACCACTCATCTCTCATAGAACAGTCCATATTTATCATGGCTTCCACTAAAAAGTATGCTCTTATAATTGGAGACTTTAACCTAAGTAGTGCCAACAGATGCAAACAACTCAAAGCCTTCCTAAATAGTTCCAACTTTTCCCAATTTGAGACCCCACCCACGTTTTTAATGGATAACAATAATGATTCCACCCCTGATATACTATTATACACTAAAAATTTAACAAACAACATCACTGGAATCGACTTGTTGCCCGACTTAGGTTCAGACCATTTATCAATGCTAATAAAAATGAATCTGGAGGCCCCCATCGTTACTGAAAACAACATAGTAAAACTAAACTTCAACAAAAGCAAAATTGAAAACATTAACAGCGAACTTTTGAGACATACCAACCAAATGAACCACACTTCAATAAGCAACAACAGTATTAATACCTTCAACAACTGTCTTTCTAATTCAATTCAAAAATTTACGCCTACCTATTCTCAATCTTTTTTTCATCACAATCTTCCACCACATATTATTAACCTTATTAAAAACAAAAGAAAAATATACAGGCAGTATCAACTACACCCTGATCCTGCCCAGAAGAAACACATCAACGAATTGTCAAAGTCTATTAAACAAGCTATTACAGTCTTCAAAAACAGCCAATGGATTGCAGCTTGCGAAACAATCAACAGCAAACGGGGAAAAAGTTTTTATTCTGAAATTAAAAAGTTAAGCAGATACAAAACACCATATCAAATACCAACAATCATTGATAATGACGAGGAACACAATACAGACCTTGATAAAGCTCGAATATTTGCGACACACTTAAATCACCAATATCAAGCTCAGGATAACCCACAATTTAACCAACAAAACTTTGACACAACAATACAGTGGTATAACTCCTACTTTGACTCCGAAAACGACTTTGACCCTCAAACAATTGACGAGGAAGATTATTTCAATATACTTTCCAATCAGAAAAATTCCACCCCTGGAGACGATAACATCCCTTGGACTATAATTAAAAAACTACATTACAACGTTCATTTATACATAATTAAACTTTTTGAAAGCTGTCTCAATAACCATTACTTTCCACCCATATGGAAAACAGGAAAAGTAATTATGATACCCAAACCCAACACTGATCACAGCAATGCAGATAACTATCGCCCAATTACCCTCCTACCGTGTTTGGGAAAACTCCTGGAAAAAATTATACTACTCAAAATCAATACCCAAGTCGCTGACAAGATCCCCAATTATCAATTTGGCTTCAGAAGCTCCAGATCCACTGCACATCCTCTTACCGCGGTCATATCCAATATACAAACTGCGAGGCTAAATAATCTTTCTTCTGCGGCTTTGTTCTTGGACATCAAAAGAGCATTTGACTCGGTTTGGCATAAAGGACTTATTTACAAACTTAAGAAGATCGGAATTGCTAATTCCCTCATCTACCTTATCAATAGCTATCTTGAAAACAGACCACTCTATGTTTGCATTAATGGGCAAAAATCTCCTACACTCATTGCGGAACTGGGAGTTCCCCAAGGCTCTCCGCTGTCGCCACTGCTATATAACATTTATTGTTATGACATGCAGCATGAACACAACCAAATTTTTTCACCAAGCGAAGCAAACTACATTTTACAATATGCAGATGACACGGCACTCTTTGTGCATCAAAAATCACCACAGCTTGCCCTTGAAAGGTTAAAAACGCTTTTCCTTACCATTAATAAATGGCTTAAGGATTGGAGACTCTGCATTAATGCTAACAAATCCAAATTTATTATTTTTCATCGAAACAACCTTAACAATCTTCAACTTACTATCAATAACCAAATACTTGAGCCAGTTCAATCAGTTAAATACCTTGGAGTACTGATTGACAACAAAATAAACCTGAAGGAACATGCCAACTCTTCCAAAAAGAAATGTATCTCCAGAGCCAGCCAGTTTAGATGTCTTACCTACAAGAATAATGGCATTAATCTCAAAACGGCAGCAATAATTTATAAATCCATCTGCCGTCCCATCCTTGAATATGCTCCCTCCCTGTTTTTAAATTCCCGAAAATCTACCTTAAAAATCCTGAATGTGGCTGAGACTTCTGCAATGAGAAAAATTACCAAAATGAGGCACCCAGGAAATCCACTCCACAACCCTCCCAACACCCTCCTTTATGAAAAATTTAAAATCAGCCCAATTTCTGCGAGATTAATAAAACTATCCACCAACTTTGCCCAGAGAGAAGCTGCTTACCAGTTTCTGGCACCAGTACTGATTCCAAGAGACCTAGAGAGAGCTCCCACCCGAATTAAACATCCTACAAGATCCCTGGTTGAGGAAATGCAAGCTCTAGCTGACGAATGAACACATATACATATATATATCTAATTTATTCTTTACATACACAATACGATGTACTTTTTTTTTTTTTTTTTGCACTCTATCTAATATCAATTTCGGTTTCTAACACATGCAAATACATTACATTTATATTTTAATTAACCTTGGCTGAAGGACCTAGGTCAATGGCCTTTTGATTGTTGTTATTTTTATAATTATGATGATCAATAAATAACTATTATTATTATTATTATTATAACTATTTTTGGTTTTGACAGGTTTCAGATTTTTGCAAATTAATTAAGAACCGAGCGTTGATTTTTTCCCACTTTTTAAATGCGATTGTTAACCGACCTTGCAGCTCTTCAAATAAAAAAAATACCCCATACATAGAAAGATACTTGGTGCACCAAGTATATCAAAAGACAGAAAAAAACACAACCACATAATATATTTTCAAATACTTACAACATTTTTATCTATAACATTTATTTTGAGGTTTGCTGTTTTTAAAAATTATAATTATAAGGTATTTTAAACGGATAGTTTACCAGTTAATACTTTTTTAAAAATTTAGTTATAAAATGATAGTTAAAAAATAGAAAAAATACTGTTATAACTTGTAAAGTAAATGTTGTAGTATTAATGTTACAATTTTTCAGAAGCTGTATTCTACTAAAAAGATTACTGCTTCCAAGGTAAAACTGTTTTAATATAGCAAGATTTAAAACCAGTGAGCAACTAAAAATACCAACCAGTTCCTATTAACTTGCAAAGAGCATACCCAAGTATAACAGTTTATATTAAGATGTGTTAGCCTATATGATTAATTTAATATTAAAAAAAATTCCTTATTGGTTTAATCAAAGTCCTTCTGTCTGTTTTCAACTTAAATAATATGTATCCATACAATGTTTGGGTATAATAAAAAAATAATAAAATATATAGTGTGGCCCATTTAAGATGGAAACACCCCCGTAACTTTTTTTATTTGTTACTCGATTTTAATAAAAGGCACAAAAGATATAAAAATATTTTCAATGTCACTTAACAGATGCCTACTACTTTTTTTATGTCAAAATTCGGATTCAAAAAAAAAAAAAAAAAAAAATACGCCACTGAATGCGGCATGCTTCAAAATTGGTACAAACCAAATTTCATTAAAAACGAACAATTAACAATTATTTTAGACAAGTTTTTTTTTAAATATTTATAACGAAAAATAAAACACATTTAGGAGGTTTAGGAAAAAAATAAGTACGCCACTGAACGCGGCATACTTGAGAATGGGTACAAAGGGGTAACTTGGGTCCCCCACTTTTGTCAAATAACGTTTAAGAGTTAAATTTTTTGTTTGTTTATTTATTTGAATAATTTTAGAATGTTAAGTTCTTATTAAACATCTTTAATATAATTCTATTTATTGTTATTCTAAAGATATTGAATATTTTAAATGGTATTGCAACACCGTTGGCCTCGAGTTTTAAAAAAATCAAAGGGGGACCCTGATGACCCCGCTAGGATGTTTAGGTTGATTGCGAGGCTTGGGTATCTAAGGGTTAATATTTAAGACAAGTTTATTTTACCATGTTATAAACACAAATTGAAACAAAATAAAAATAAACTTGTCTGAAATAGTTATTATTAGTTAATATTTGATGAAATTAAGTTTGTACCCATTTTGAAGCATGCCGCATTCAATGGCGTACTTAATTTTTTTTCGAAAAAACGACCCTAATAATTTTTTCCGAATTTTGACATAGAAAAAATGTTATAGAAGGCATCTGTCAAGTGACATTGAAAATATTTTTTATAGCTTAGATTTTATATCTCTATCTTTTGAGCCTTTGTTCATTAAAATCGAGTAACATGTAAAAAAGTTACGGGGTGTTACCATCTTAAATGGGCCAGATAAAAAAAATGAACTTGATGAAATTTTCTATTGGTTGGAAACGTCAAAAAATAACCGTGAATGCGCAAATTTTAGTCTTGATTGTACTAATAAAAGAAAGTAAGTTTACAATGGCAAAAAAACTTTAAAATGGGCAAACTTAAATGTGAAAAAAATTCTGAAAAAGAACAAAAAAACGATGTTTCTTTTCGTAACATCTCTAACGCCACAGTATAAGGGGACATCCAGTAATTACATGAGATAAAAATGGGGGGGAGGGTCTAGCATAACTTCACCAAATCTCATTTTAAGGGAGAGGGGGTCATTGAAAATCTCACGTCAACTTAGTTTAAAGAATGTATAATATAATAAAATAAAATAATTTTTGAGAAAAATTCCAAATTTCCTGAATCCTAGACATAAAATTAATTTTTCACTTACCTTTTTGTATGCCATTTCAAACAATTTAAGGGAGGATTGCTGGAGCGAGCTGGTAGTCTTGCGGAGTTCTTCGGGTTCGACGTCGTCCTTCTTGGCGAGCATTTCCCGCACTTTGGCGATTTCTTCCTTCATCTTGGTGCATTCTTCCTGAGGTAATTGATCCTTGTACTCTTCCATCTTCGTTTCCGTGTCATGGACGATGCCTTCGGCCTGGTTGACGACCTCCACTCTTTCTTTCTTGACTTTGTCGGCTTGTGCGTATTGTTCGGCGTTGCGCACCATGTTTTCGATTTCGTCTTTGCTCAGACCGCCGGAAGATTGGATGACAACTTAAAGAATAAGCAAAATATTAGGTGTTGACAGGCCCTGGCCAAGATACATACACCTTAAGATAGGATGGTGCCAGTGTTGTAACGAATCTAGTTACAAGTAACTAGATACAGTATCTTGATAATTTTTATGTATCTGTTTGTGTAACTAGTTACTTATCCCAATCTAGTAACTATAACTGTAACTAGTTACAAATTCTAAGTAACTAGGTGTTTTAAGATACAAAGATACATTTTTAATTAAAGGCCGACTATAATTTATTTCAAAAAAATATTATAAAAAATAAGTTATTTTAAATTAAATATTATAAAAAAATAAAAATAATAAACATGTATATTTTTGTGGTCACTTTAAAATTCCCTTTTATTTCTATTTTAAATTTTATAAAGCAAAAAATAATTTGTATGTATTTTAAAGTATCTAGATACTTTTTGAAGGTAACTGTATCTGTAACTAGTTACTGCAATAAAATATGTATCTGTATCTAGTTACAAATTTTAGTACGTAACTGTAACTGTAGCTAGATACTGAAAATATTGTAACTGTTACAACACTGCGCATGGTGGGCGGGGCTTAAATACGTCACTTGATGAGTGTTTTTAAATCTTTAACGTGCTTTTTAATTATCTGCTACTAAAATTCTTGTTTTTGGAATGCTGTTGGATGTTAACTTGCTCTATTTTTTGCTTAACTTGTTGTTTTTGCGTTCGCTAAGGTTCGAATTACTTTTCAGTGTTCAAATTATTGTTTTTGTGTTGCGTTAACTTGTTTTGTTTGTGTTTTAGTTTGTGTCGTGCCATTTGCATTTATTAAAATGCGGTGTGGCATATTTGGATGCAATTCGGACAACCAGTCCAAGAAAAACCCTTAAATTTCATCGATTCCCGAAAAACTTTGATTTGTGAAAACAGTGGTTTAGTGCCACAAAAAGAATAGACAATATTACCGTTATGACCGATTCTGTTTCCTCTAAACATTTTCTGGACAGTGACTATAAGTTTAATTAAAAACACCAACACTTAAACTACAGCCCTAAATGTTATCAAGAACTGAAAGCTAACTATTATCCATATTATAACACTTTCTTGTCCAGATATTTCTCTATTTTCTTTGATAATATTACTATTATTCGTGCATTCGCACGGCAACTACTCATCAAGTGATGTCATGCGCGGCACGAACCAAAACTCGTACGCGGGAGCATCCAGCCCTGGGCCTTGGCCAATGTTTTGGACTTGCTCACAAAATTTATTTAGTTTTGTAAATTTGTAAAATAGTCAATATCTTCTCACAAAAATGCATTTTTAAACTAAAAAAGTGATTTTAAGCCGAATCGCGTTAAAACGCTCATTAGGACGATAAAAACACATTTTTACGATAACAATGAAATTAAAATAGTTATGTTTACATTATAAAAATGTTATAAAATTTATGTTTAAAAAAGATAAATGCATATCTAACCATGCAAAAATGGGTTTTAAAAAAATAATAATTTTTTAACATTGTAATAGGTAGGTACTTTTTTAACCTAATTTTAACCTAAAAAGGTGTTATATCGTCCTAAAAACCGTATTTAACACGAATTTCATTAAATCTTTTGTAGATCAAAAATGCATTATAGTGAGCGAGTCCACCAATAAATTGGCCAAGGACTAAAAATAAGACACTCTTGAAAATAAATTTTTTTTAAATTAATCCCTTAAATTAGCCCACATTTTTGAACGCTGAAAAATCGTTTTAATATTTCTTTTTAATTTGGACAGATTTGGTTTCAAAAGTGTTTTGTATGTGGGGTGAAATAGTAAACTTAAATATTTTATAAGTATACATTGGATATCCACAAAATATTATCTTGCATTATTATTTGAACAGAGTAAATTATAGAGAATTTACCCTGTGGTTTTATAATGCTGAAGATATTAGTACCTAATTTTTTATTGCAATAAAATATTAGGTTATAGTGAAACAACAACAACAAATATAATTAAATGATTTTAAGCATTAGCGCAAAAAAATTTTTTGTAAAAAAATAATATTAATTTTTAACTTTTAAATAGCATTTTTTTAAAATTTGGTCAACAAAATAAAACATTCTATTTGCCACAGGGTGACCAACAACTTTTGTAGGGTAATTTGGGTGCGCTGATTGCAACAATGATCATTATTTACGGATTTTTTTAAAATCTTGTGTGATTTTCCAAATAAAATAATGACTTACTAAAGATTTAAGCCCTTAAGTTAATAGTATTACTTTCCTAGTGATTATTTTAAATGATTTATTAAAATACAAATGGTACTGTTTTTTTAATTCTTATCTTTTCAATGAAAATATTTATGCTTTATTAAAAATGCGATTTTTCCAGTCTTGGGGCAATTTTTATTTAAAACTTTTTTTAAAGTTGAGAATTTTATACACAAAATTTGTAATTTTTACAATGGGGTTAAATATACATTATTATTTAAATGTAAAAATTATAATTAACAATGATAGCAGAAAATTCTAAACGAGAAGATATTTTAAAAACAAAACAGCATTTTGATTAAATAATTAATTTGCAGCATAAATCCGCTAAATAACTTTTCTTACTACCTCGACTCAAAATACGTTGTTTCGTCCCCGATTTCACGGCAGAAAGTTTACGTTTCTTGCATTGGTCAAGCTATACGCGCACACTCTAATAGCGGGAGTAAAAATTTTTTAGTCGCGTGTTTAACATTTAAATTTCGTACTGCCAACATGAGAAACACAAAAATATGACAGTTTTAAACCATAATTTTGCAATTATAACAACAAATAAACAATTTATGTTTTTACTTTTTTACTTTTTATGTTGTTTTAAGTGTTTAATGGTACTTTTATTTGTTATAAAGTAGTAATTTGTTAATTAAAATACAACCTTTTATTTTTACTGTATTGGCACCGCTGAATTACCATGACAACGCTACAGTTTGATTGATTTTGAATGTAAACGTCAGAATTAAATTAAACGTCAGATTTTAATTTTGACACAAATTTTTTTATATACATTTAATTTTTTCCCGTATTTTCTGCAGGGTAGTAAGAAAAATAGTATACACTACACGGGCAGAAAGTGTGAGAGTCCTGAACTGCGCGCCATGATGCCCTCGGCTTCGCCTCGGGCATCATGGCGCGCAGTGCAGGAATCTCACACTTTCTGCCCTTGTAGTGTAATATACTATTGTTTTACTAAATGTAGCCAATTATAAATTTAGGGTCCCTAGAATTTCACAACTCAACCTATACATTTTTAATGTCAAATTCCGAATAAAAAATGAATGCCTTTGCGAGTGTTTATGTGACAAACTTAAGAGTTTGTAAAGACGAAATTGATATTAATTTGACAGATTAATTATTTGAAAAAAAAATGACAATTACTTATTACAAAAAATAACCCCATTGTAAAATAGCTGATTTCATGTAAAAAAATTCGTAGCTTTCCAAAAAATATCAAATTTAAAATAAAAATTGCCGCAAGGCTAGAAAAATCGAATTTTTCACTTTGGTTTAACTTTTTAAGGTCTGTTAAAATTTGTATAAAACATAATTTACGTAAAAAAAAAATATTGTCTAAATTCGAAAAATCATTACCTACTACGAAAGTACTTAATATTAAGAGCTTAAATCTTCAGGGAGTCATTATTATGATGTAGAGAATGACACAAAATTTAAAAAAAAACTCGCGGGGGTCACATCCAAAAAGAAATTGTTTGGTGGAATGACCCATATACAGTGTTGGCTATAATTTTTGGAACCACTGTAAAAAAAATCTAACTCCAAAAGGCTTTATTATTCTTTATGAAATTTTGGATAAAAATACTTCAACTTATATCAAAGTTTGCGTGTTCGAGGGTTTTTCGAGAAATTATTTTTAAAGCCCTTTTATTTAATAATGAAAAAACTTTCGGAAAATAACTTTTGGGGTAATTTTTTTAAGTAAATAAAAAATATTACCTATCTAGATTTCCGGCAAAACTACAAGTCCTATGGAAAAAAGTTAAATGTCAAAGTTGTAGGTAATAAAAAGATCTACAACTTTTGTATTTACAATTTTTTTACATAACCTCAAATTTTATGTGAAAAATTCAAAAAACCAAGTTTTTGGTTTTTTATTTTTATCTTTTTCAAAAACAAAATTTTTTCCACGAAATTTGGTGAAAACTTACCTTTTTATGTCTCAAATACACTGTAATTTATTTGATTTGAAATATTTATTATTTCGCCTTATTTTGACTTAATATCAAAAAAGCACCCTAATTTTCAATCGAAAATTCTCGCGTCAAAATATCAGCTTTTTTCAAAAAGTCGGTGTGCTTTTTGTTCGATGAACTCTACTTTCTGATGGTGTAAAAAAAATATACATTACTATGGTAAATGTTCTCAGAAAATACAAAAAATATTATAATGAATAACGTAATCAGAATGAAGTATCTAAATTCAATAGTATGATTTACATGTATTTTTATATTTTATGAGATTTTCTGACATAAATGTTATTAGAATTTAATAAATAAACTTTTTAACTAAAAAAAATTGCAACAATCACATTTTTTTGATGAAATTGTACATAATGATTAAAATAAATTTTCGAATTCGAGTTTTTTTCGTTATTCATTATAATATTTTTTGCATTTTCTGAGAACATTTACCATATTAATGTATATTTTTTTTACACCATCAGAGTAGAGATTTCAACGAACAAAAAGCACACCGACTTTTTGAAAAAAGCTGATATTTTGACGCGAGAATTTTCGATTGAAAATTAGGGTGCTTTTTTGATATTAAGTCAAAATAAGGCGAAATAATAAATATTTCAAATCAAATAAATTACAGTGTATTTGGGACATAAAAAGGTAAGTTTTCACCAAATTTCGTGGAAAAAAATTTTTTTTTGAAAAAGATAAAAATAAATAACCAAAAACTTGTTTTTTTGAATTTTTCACATAAATTTTGAGGTTATGTAAAAAAATTGTAATTACAAAAGTTGTAGATCCTTTTATTACCTACAACTTTGCCATTTAACTTTTTTCCATAGGACTTGTAGTTTTGCCGGAAATCGAGATAAACCATTTTTTACCCTTAACCCCCCCCTCCCACTTCCCGAAGTCAGATCGCCCGTAATTTATTTTTCCTTTCATTTTTATTATATTCTTCTCCTTTTCCAATGGGTTTCATCCTACTGTTATTTTTTTTGGTTTCAAAAATTATCGACCCTGGTCTATTTTAGAAAATCATCAAATTAATCTTTTTTAGGTGTATTTAAAAAAACATAAATTACTTACTTTGTTGTTCCTTTCCAGTCCCCTTATCTCTGGCAGACACATGTACAATACCATTGGCATCAATATCAAAGGTCACCTCGACCTGTGGTACACCACGGGGCGCCGGTGGAATTCCAACCAAGGAGAATTGTCCCAACATTTTGTTGTCGCTGGCCATTTCACGCTCGCCCTGGTGCACCTTGATTTCGACCTGAGTTTGGCCATCGGCAGCGGTACTGAAGACCTGGCTCTTCTTTGTGGGGATCGTGGTGTTGCGGGTGATCAGTCTAGTGAACACTCCACCGAGGGTTTCGATACCCAGAGAAAGAGGAGTTACATCAAGCAAGAGGACGTCAGTTACGTCTCCGGCCAACACACCACCTTGCACGGCGGCACCTAAACAAAATAGAAATTAAAATAGGAAAAATTCCTACATTCAAAAACAAAAGTGCCACTGCGTCGTTCATACTTTTTTGTATAGATGGCGGATGCTTGAGCGCTTTGCAAAACGCTCATAAGTGCTCAAAAATGCTCGAGCATTTATAAACGATGAAATATAAATTTTATAAAAAAAAATTATTGAAAAAAAATTCCAAAAAAATAGAGGTAAGTAAACCATTTTGGAATTGGATAAACCTGCACCACTTTTGTTACCTGCACATGTTCTGATGTGCACAATAGGGTATTTCTACGAAACCTTACCTCACATTGACAAAAAAACAAATGTGTTATTTAACAAAATAACAACTATATCTGAAGTCAAATAGTTTAATTGCGTCGTAATTTATACCCTTAAAATATTCGAAAATTGTGATGCCAAGAAGCTAACATTAATAATAAACACAAAAAAGTTTCAATACTCGATAAAATGTTCAAATGTCGCACCCGTTACATTTTGAGAAAATTTTAGAAAATAAAGTATACAATATTTGTGCATTTAAAATACGTGCTTGTTTAAGGCTACTATTGAAGTTTTACACAAGAAATTATTACTATATGCTTTCATCCAAAATTTAACAGTATCAACTTTAGAAGCCAACTTAGTCGCATTTCCCGATTTTCTAAGGTCGCGCCCGTTACGCTATTCATGACGTTAAAAAAAGTTTTCTATATAAGATTTTACTGACATTTTGTTTGAGTTAAATTCCTAATTTTTTATACTAATTTTTAATATTAACGTATCTTGATATACATGAACTTTATTATCATGAAAAAACGCAGTTTTAGTGTCGCACCTGTTACAATGGAAATACCCAGTAGTTATTTGTTGGTTAATTTATAACACCGCTTTTTAGTTTTGGCCAAAGATTAAATATACTCTTTATAGTATATTTAATCTTTGTTTTGGCACCAAATTCAAATATCAAGCACTTTGGTAAATGCTCGAGCATTTAAGAGCGCTTTTGAAAGTGCTCATCCTTCTCTACTTTTTGTGTATAACAGACCAACAATAATCTGCTTAGCCTCATCCCAAAACTCTTTTTGGTTTTTTTGCCGTAAAAATTTGACCTGATAGCGGGAAATAAGCAACAGAGTTAAATTCAGCGCTCAAAAATACGCATAATGTAAAAATATAGTAAACTCCAACAGAGAAATCATGTAAAAACTGTCTCATACAAATCCGACTTTAGTCTGGAAAGTATTTACTTGAACATGTATCACATAAGGGAGTATCTCATATTTAATAATTTTAAAAATTGAATGTTTTTTGCTTATTTTAATTATTTTTAGGAAAAAAAATGTTCTACACGATAGTAATAATAATAATAAATATCTTTATTATTAGCATAAGCTATTTACAATTTCTCATCATTATATATACAAAAATAGTACATTTAATGTAAAAATTAATTTAAATTAGCTAAAAACTTTCATTTCTAAAATGCACTGTAATGGGGATGATATGTGAAAAGGATTTTCAAGATTATCATTGTTTTAAGTAGAGTGGTAAACAATCTTTTGAAATGTCCAAAAAGATTTTTTTTATCTAAAAAATTGTCATTGCTATTATTTTTTGAAGTCGCTCATCTGTAAATTTTGATTGTTGGATGCTAGGTCTTTTCTCGGATCGCGCCACATATTTCAGACACACTAAATAGTTCACACCAAAGAGAAAGTATGTTTTGAACTTTGTTTAGTCCAACAGAATTCCCAATTCTTTAATTTATTTAAGCGAAAAAAATCCAAAAGATTGCCTTTTTGTTATTTAAAATTTAAAGCTTAGGATATTTAGATTTGGCTTAAGATGAGATTTTTACCAAACGATGATTTATAATAATTATATTATATGACTGACAATATGCCCCAGTATTGTAATAAATATTATAACGTCTAATGTTTTGGCGATCATACTGAAACTTTTCTGTAATTCCTGTAAAGTTTGAATAAAAAGATCTGGTTTTTATTGGGGCGTTTTGTCATTTAGATGGGGTAATTATAAATTTCTAAACTCCCTTAATAGTATATTATGTATCAAGTTTGATAAACGCCATTTTATACACGAATTTAATTTAGGCACGAGCGAGCTTGCGAGCGAGTTCTTAAATTAATGAGTGTATAGAAAAGTTTATAAACGAGGTGCATACTAAACTTTTTCTATGACAAATACTTATTATTATCTTAAAATGATTTAAATCAAATATTTTTATAGAGCGCCATCTATGAAACAATAGGGGAATCTGTGTGTCACCGTCAAATGTCAAATTTATAAACACAATTATAAAGGTTATAAATCGAAATATATATTTTAAGTTATAGTTTACTGCCGGCGAAATTAAAACGTCAGTACAATGTTCATATAAACTTTTCAAATATTGGCCTATTTAATACTTTTGTATTTTTGTATTGAGATAATAAAATAATTTTCACATTTGGTATTATTTTACAAGAAAGGCACTTTATTTTTTGACAACTGTCAACTAACTTAAAACTAACTTCAGTCCGTGACTAAAACGCCGTAAAGCCACAACTTGTCAATGTGTATTTAAAAGGTCACTTAGTGTCATGGAAACATGTACGATAATGGTCGTTTTAAAGGCTGGAGTAGAAAAAAGAAGTAAAAATTACTACTTAAATATAATTTTTTCTATTCTGCATTTTGTTTCAGTTTTTACCGCAATACAAGATAAAATTACTTTCAAACCAGACCACTTAATTTGGCTGTCAAACTAAAAATGTTTCAGTTTCAGAATTTTTTATTTTTTCAGAAAAAGAATCTTTTTTTAATTAATGGCGCAAATTCTATAGTGAGCTAACTTTTCTCTTTCTTTTTATAAAAAATAAGCTTAAAAAAACAACCGAGACCCAAGTTATATCTTAATGAACTTAAGTAGAACTTGGCCCACAATGGGATTTTCGGCATTAAACACAGTAAATCAATACAAAAAAATATATATTAATAAAAAATTAGGAACTTTTTGAAATGTTTTTTTTTGAAAAATTAAAACTTTTTATAGAATTTGGCTCTAAAGCCATTTAAAAACAATAAAATTCATCCAAATCAAAAGAGGTCGATTTGGCATAAAATGCCCTATTTATAGGTGTCTGTGGGGTGAAATAGTAAATTGTTATCAGTTCACAATCTACATTGGATAATCCACAATTCAATGTAGCACCTTATAAAATAGATTACGCTACAAAAACGAAACCTATGTGTGAAGATGCCAAAAAAGAATCTTAAAAGCGTTTTCCTTACCTACAGCGACGGCTTCATCAGGGTTGACAGCACGGCTAGGTTGTTTGCCGAAAATTTCCTGCACAGTACTTTGCACCTTAGGCATCCTAGTCATGCCACCAACCAACAGAACCTCTCCAACGTCGGACTTTCCAGTCTCGGCGTCTTTAAGAGCCTTCTGGCAAGGAGCGATGGTCCTCTTGATCAAGTCGCCAACCAAACTCTCGAATTTGGATCTGGACAGCTTGAGGTTCATGTGTTTCGGGCCGGAAGCGTCCATGGTCAAGTAAGGCAAGTTGATGTCGGTTTGTAAGGATGATGAAAGTTCGCATTTTGCTTTTTCGGCGGCTTCTTTGAGACGTTGCATGGCCATGGGGTCTTTGGTTACGTCGAGGCCTTGCTCTTTTTTGAATTCAGATACCAAATGGTTGACGAGTACGTTGTCGAAATCTTCGCCGCCCAAAAACGTGTCGCCATTGGTCGATTTAACTTCAAATACTCCTTTTTGAATTTCAAGGATTGAGATATCAAAGGTACCGCCGCCCAAGTCGTATACAGCGATGCTGTAGGAATAAGGGTTGATGTTTAAAGTTTTTGTACGGTTAATTTTGATTTAACAAATGAATTGTTGAACTGTTACAATTTTTCAGAAGCTGTATTCCACTGATAAGATTACTGCTTCCAAGGTAAAATTGTCTTAATTTAGCAAGAATTAAAACTAGTCAGCAACTAAACATACAAACCAGTTCCTATTTACTTGCAAACCAAAAAGATAGGTTTAAATATATTATATTATAAAACTATATAGTTATAATTAGGTACCTACTACAGTTGTATGCAAATAAAAAGCGTACAGAATGAGAGGTACTGCACTTGTCAAATATGGCGAGTTAGGTTATAAATAAAAAATAAAGTGCCGTAGATGTAAACCAGCCGTCAGTTTGACAGCTAATTGAATAAAGCTTAATTTTGTTAAAAAACGGATGCATGAAATTAGAACATTTCTTATCGGACGATTTTATTGAAAAAGGTACAAACGTATAACGGACAAACGGATACATGAAAATTAAGCTTAATGCCTCGTCAGTTATCTGAATTTGAAAAACTCGTATAATTACAAATAATGTACTATGCTCCACACCTCAAAGTCCCACCACGTGACCACGTACGGAACGCAGTCTTTTGAAAATTTGGCATTTAAGGCTTTTCAGGTTATGTATTTGTCAATGTATAGTCAACGAAAGAAATAATATTATGTTTAGGCGTTAAAAATGTATAAATCTTTATAACATTAGAATAACAATGGATGGTTTAAGAATATAAATACTGCATTTAATGAAATTCTAAAGTGTATGGTGCCAAATAAGTAATATTTTTGTGCATTTGGTCCAAATATCTGGTTTTCTCCATAAAATAATTTTAACTAAACAGCATTTATTTAAAAAAAATCTAGCTTCTCTATTATGGAATAAGAATATTTGTATTAAAGCAAGGTTAATATATTATAACAAAAATATCATCTAATTTTGTAATTTTAAGGTTGGAAAAATTTATTTTGACCAAAATAAATTTTTCTAACCAAAATATTTTGGATTATTTAGAAGACTGTATAATATGGTATTTAAAAATGTGGTAGTTTTTCTTATCACAACATAAAGTTTTGTCAATACAAATAGTTAAAAAGCTATAACTATATTCAACAATTATTTAGTATACCTATATTTATTTATGACCATATTAACACACTCTTTCAAATAATCCACTTATTTATTTTGGTCAAAATAGATTTTTCTAACCTTGAAATACAAAATTAGATAATATTTTTTGTTCTAATACATTAACCTACCTTTGATACAGATATTCTTATTTCATAATAGAGAAGTTAGATTTTTTTTAATAAATGCTGTTTAGTTAACACTATTTTATGGAGAAATGTAGACCCAATGCACAAAAATATCACTTATATTGCACCTTACACTTTGGAATTTTATTAAATGCAGTATTTATATTCCTAAATTCTTAAACCAACCATTGTTATTGTGATAATATAAAGATTTATTAACTTTTAACATAAGCGGTAACACTATAAATATTATTTCTTTCATTGACTATACTTTGACAGATACATAACCTGAAAAGCCTTACCTTAAATGCCAAATTTTCAAAAGACTGCGTTCCGTAAGGGGTCACGTGGTGGGACTTTGAGGTGTGGAGCATAGTACATAACTGCACTGCCCACAGCATACCTAAGTAAACCAGATGCATAAGTTAATATTTGTAGAATAAAATACATTTATAAACTTAACGCAGATGCAAAACTGGTTATTTGTTTCTTCCTGTCGGATGCAAAACTCGGTATTTGCTGTATACAGTCTACAGACCAATCACGTCGTTAGTATAAGCATTACGTGACGACATAACAATCACCTGATTAATTGTTATTTTTTGGTATTTGCACTTTTCACTTGCAAAACTTGGTCTTTGAACGAGTAAGATGCAAAACTATGTTTTTAAATCTTTTGATTTCATTTATTTACTAAACTACTTAATTTTAAAGGATTTTTTTTACTTTTTGTCTATACAATTTTTGAATTTTTTTTTCAAAAATGATCTTATGAACGGTTTTTCGTGTTTTTCTTAAAATCACTTATCCTGCAAATACAGAGTTGTGCATCTAATGTACTCATATGTAATTCCACATTAAAAAGTGATGTTAGAACTGTCATATTCCGTAATATGAGTAGAACAAAATAATTATTACTAGTGCCCTTATAATTTTCCGAAAAAAAATCTTTTCTAGGATTTTTCGGAAGATACACCGATTTTTAACCATGTAAACAGATTAATTAATTTTTATTAAATAATAAAAATAACCTATAGACATTATTTGACTTGGACATTTTTATTTAATTTATTAATCAGATTGAATGTATTTTGCAGAACAGGTAAAAATGTTCTTTTAATGAGTTATTAATTCTTATTGAAGAATACAAATTATATTATATATATTATGTCTTCAGTTAATTTTTATTCTTCATATTAGGACAAATTTATTAGAAGATAGAGGGTTCGGTAACACTTTATTTACTTACATTTTATCTTCAGTTTTGTCCATTCCATAAGCCAAGGCAGCTGCAGTGGGTTCATTAATTACTCTCAAAACGTTCAAGCCAGAAATCTGACCGGCATCTTTGGTGGCTTGACGCTGAGAATCGTTGAAATAGGCTGGTACAGTGATGACGGCGTTCTTTACTTTGGTGTTAAGGTAAGCGTCGGCTGTTTCCTTCATTTTAATCAAGGTGAAGGCACCAATTTGACTTGGAGAGTACATTTTTCCATCTGTACCTTGAACCCAAGCATCTCCGTTTGTCGCTTTAACGATTTTGTATGAAACATTGGTCCTAATATAATATAACTTATTAAAAACTAATAATTTTTGGCAAATATTGTGTGTTACTTACATATCTTTTTTAACTTCTGCATCGTCAAATCTCCTACCAATTAGACGTTTGGTAGCATAGAACGTGTTTGCCGAGTTTGTTACAGCCTGACGTTTGGCTGGCATACCAACCAATCGTTCTCCATCTTTGCTGAATGCAACAATGGATGGAGTCGTTCGGGAACCTTCAGAATTTTCGATAACTTTGGCTTGTTTGCCTTCCATTACCGCCACACATGAATTTGTTGTGCCCAAATCAATGCCAATAACGGCCCCCTTGACACCTTCAGATCTAAAGATAAATAAAATTCAAATCCTTATTTATTGGTATTGGTATTTTTGTTATAATATATTATAATTATATACAAGGGTGTCTTTTTAAAAACGAGCAATGCTCTATAAGTATTAAAAGATTTAAAAAAAAAATCTTAAAACCGTTTCTAGGACATGTGGGGCAAATCAGTGTGAATTGCTACTTAACAGTACTTAAAAATTACTTTTTGATAGTTCAATTTTTGAAAAATACTTAAAATAATTTTCATTTATTCCAATTTCTCATTATAAATGTAAGATCACAAAAATTTCTCTAAACAGTTTCTAGCATATGACCTTCACAAGCAACTCCTGGGACTGTAACTTATTTTTTTAAAGTGTGGTTGTGGTTTTATTTTTTAATAATAGTAATTTTTTTAAATTATCTAGGTATTATATTAAAAGGTAAACATTTATGGAAGATATGTATGTTTAATAATAAAAAAATGAATCAATAAATATTTTCACCCAAGTTCAATGTTAGGGGTAGAGATGTTAAAAACGGTTTTTTTCAGATGTGAAAAAAAAAACAAGAAAAAAACCTAAAAAAAAATCCGTTTTTTTTGTTTTTTTTTCAAAATGAAATTTTGAGTAAAATGTAGAATATATTACATTTTTCAACATTGAAAATTTTGACCAAGACTAAAAAATCTGATTTCTTATTATTTGGTAGTTTCCACATTAAAAACCAATAGCAATGTAAAACTACACTAATACAAAAATTTAAAGGATAATTTTTTTTTTGCGATTTTTCGGATAGCTGTATATTTGTTAAAAATGGTCGTATTGGAGCCGTAAAAAAAGCAATTTGAAGCTTGAAGTTTATAGTTTTGAGATTTTTAGATGAAAAACGTGCAACGCTCAATTCTAACGAACACCGTAATAAAAAAAATCGATTTTATTTTATTTCTTTTTTGGTCCACGGAATGTTCTGACCACCAATGAAGAAATGTTCTACAAGAATTTGCTATTGTTTATTGAAAAAAAGAAAAATTTCCATACTCTACATAAATTTGAAAAATCATGAAAAAAGTGCTTTTGGTAGCTTTTTGAAAAATCAAGCGCTGAATCAAAATTATTATATGTAGTTAGTTTTTTTAGGACCAAATCAAAACAAGCGCGGCCCTTATTGGTCAAATCGGTGGTTGTGGCGAGTGCATAACGCGAGACTGTATTTACATACAACCTGTTTACATAATAATTGTCATTTAATGGCTAATTTTAGTCCATGGAAACATAAAAAATTAGGCAAATGGGACTAATCTTGAAAAAAAACCATTTGAAAAAAAACCTGAAAAAAACATCTCTAGTTAGGGGTAATTATTTTACAATGAAACCAAAGAAAGTTATACATCAATTGATTTCAAGCATTCAGCTTTTTAATCAGGTAGAAAAACAGCAAAGATATTTTATATAATTAACAAGGTAGTAATTTTATTTTTAAAAAATGTTATTTTTTAATTATATCTTTGTTATAGGTATGTTTTCCTTCTGAATTTATTTTTTCATACAGTGTGACCCATTTGTTTGCGACTCACCCCTGTAAAATCTTTATTTATTGTGCGATTTTAACCGGATTTGTTTTAAAGTGTAGATCTTGAAAAACTGTATTTTTGAAGTAAAAAACGCCATATTTTTACAAAATACAATGCCTACTATGTCAGTTTTTAAGAGTAAATTTTTAAGAATTCATATTAGCGATTTTTTTAAACAAAATCTAAGCACGGCACTGTATTCACCATCACTCAAAACGTCCCTATAATAAATTTTATTGAAAAATTTTAAGAAAAAAATGCTCAATATTAACTACAAAAATTTATTTTGTCAAGTTATCCATGAAAAAAACATTGAAATAAAATTAAACTTATAGTAATAGTACCATTAAAATTTTTCAATAAAATTTAGTATAGGGTCGTTTTGAGGGGTGGTGAACACAGTGCCGTGCTTAAACTTGGTTTAGAAAAATCGCTAATATGAATTCTTAAAAATTTACCCTTCTAGGGGCCTCACAAAAAGGCTTTATATTACATTGGCCCTTTTAGAGACAAGCAACTGAAGTACAGGGTGCGGCAAGTTAATAATCTTATTTAGGGCGGTCCTAAAAGAGTGGATGTGGTCTTATTTGACGGCGCAGGTCTTAAAGTTTTATTTTCCTTCGGTCCAGTTGTCATCATGCGTTGGACAAATGAGCAACGCGTGTTTGCCATCGAGGCGTACTTTTTTAACGATGGGTCGGTAATTTCAACCAAGCGCAAATGAAATTTTTTTGCCACGAATTGATAAAATGGACCTTGGAAACATATGGTTTCAGCAGGGTGGAGCCACGGCTCACACCTCAAGTACACTTAAAAAAATTATAAAACAATATCTTCTATACTTTTGCTTTAATTGCATTATAAAATAAGATAATTAACTTGCCACACCCTGTAAATATATCTTTGTGAAGTTCACATTCTTAAGACCATAAATTGGATAACACTTATAGAAAAGGAACCAAGCGCCAAAAACTTTTTCTGGGCTTAGTAAAATTATTTGTAAAATAACTCATATTTACTAATGCTCAAAGGGTTAATCATCATTTGGAACTTTTCTCAAAGGGATTGAGAAGGTCCCCAAATCATGAATTTTTAAATACTAAAAACTAGATAACACAAACACAGTTGGCCGTTTGGGGGTTTAGTTGGCAAATTCTAGGGACCCCAAATTTATAATTGGCTACATTGAGTAAAACAAAATAATTTAGTGGATTTATGCAGCACAAATTAATTGACCATATGCAAGGAATGCGGTCGATGTTGCCAATGGTAAAAAAATATAATTCCCTATTGGGAACATTCAATTATATTACGTTGGCTACACTGAAATTTTGAATTTCCCGCACAAACTGACATACCTACATTCTAGTAGTTTCCAGAGATAAAGAAGGTAATTCCAATGTTGTATAATAAATGAAGGTGCGAATTTCAAATGTGGGAATTATTATTATTTATTAATATTAAAAAAAAAAGATGGAAATTAATTTAGTTTGTATAGTCGCGGCCAAATCTGTATGGGTGCACGTCATCAACGGCATATGACGTCAGCGTTAAGGTCTATTCATACGTGCCCAAACACAATCTAACGCTCGTGTATTGTTGACTGTTTATAGCGGTGGGGGCTGTTATTAAGATGGAATTATAACATCCTTGTTATAATCTTCTGCACTAGGAGTTTGTTACAGGCAAATTTTTATTTAATGTGTTTAAAGAGAAAACATTTTTATTACATTTTTATTACATATGCACATAACAAAAAAATACTAAATTATCAGAAACACAAAAATAATAAATTACCAGTCGTCAGAGCAAACCAGGTCAGAATTGAAGTCTGATTATTTCCCCAAATTTATTATTAAGGGCGCAATGTCTTCGAAATCTAATAACGGCTAGTTGCCAACAAGCCTTATATCATTGTTTGCACAATCCAGGGATTGAATCTTATAAACATAATGTATAATATTATTTATAATAATTTGCAACAAACGATGCTTCCGGACGAAATGTCACAATTACAAAAATACGTCAAATATAAAATGACAGCGACCCATCAATAATATTGAACGGTGCGCGCCAGCCTTAAGCTATTACCAACTGGCACACACAAAAATTACTAAGTGAATGGTTTTATTTTGATAATTTCGTGAAAAAACGTTTTAAAACAAGGAAATTGTTACAGTTCTTGGTAAACAATACGCAAATGAATGATTTCTTTTTAATAACACATCAGAATTACGCCTTAAAAAAGCAAATTTAACGGCAGTAACTTTACAATTCAAAGTTGGTAATGCTGACGTCATTATATCTCATTGATGACGTGCACCCATATAGATTTGGCCGTGACTATACGGGAAATTCAAATTTTCAATGTGGCCAACGTAATATAATTGAATGTTCCCAATAGGGAATTTTATTTTTTTACCATTGGCAACATCGACCGCATTCCTTGCATATGGTCAATTATTTCATCAAAACCATAGATAACAAAGCCTTTCAAAACGCGGCTTTCCTTTAGAATTTTCGGTTTTATTTGACATTGTTTATTAGAATTCCAACAACTAAATGGAGAACCAATTTTATTAATTAAAAATACCAAAGGAAATTGATAAGCAGTATGAACAAATGTGTCAAATTCCGAATAATAATTCAATTGGTTACACAGATTTTAAAATTTCTGTATAAAAATTAGTAAAAACTTGGGGGGGCTAAAACACGTATAGATATGTTGCAGACATTTACATTGCAGTGAAGGGAGCTAGAGTTATTTAAAGTGTATTCAAATTCAACATGAACTAAATGTAAATGCAATCCAAGTCACACACTTCAAATTGACCAATAAGAACAAACAATCCAATATTTAATTTATTACAGAGAGTGAGTTACACAGGGCCAAGCATGGATACCTTGAGATTGGAGTTGGTTTAAGCTACAGATTTGGTTTAAAATAAAGATTGTGTTTTTAATATTAATAATAAAAACTTACTTAAATCGCATTTGGGCGTCATACTTGGGATGTAGAGAAAACGCCGGTGATGCCTGTAAAAGAAAATTTGTGATGCAATCGGACAGGCCGATTTTCTAACCACACTTTATCATTATTGGATTTTAACGATTAACTCTTCCAATAAACAAGTTAAAAACTACACAAATTAATCAAAATAAGTATTAAAAAAACTCTTACATAATAGTATAGTCCCCAATACACAAAGTGCAGTCAGAAAAGTAAAATAAATGGTGTGACACTACTTACGGAATTTCTCAAATGACTGAAATTTCTTGCGCCTGTGATGTCGAAACTCAATTTTGAACAGTCTAGGGCTTTTTTACTGATTGCACGAGCGGCGGACAACATGTTTTCTGAATTTTTCGCGTCTTTTCCAAAATAGTTCTTTGCGAACTTCACGTGTGTGACACAAGAGAGAGACCGGCTGACGGAAAATGGAGAAACTAGATAAATGTCTAATTAAAGTCCCGGCAGGGGTCACTGGAATCAGCAAATCCACCAATCATGGAGCGATTACAGGACCTTTGCAAAGGCGGGAGGTTTAAATATGATTTTCTAGAATTTTCCAAGGGTATTTGCCATAGAATGGGACTAAAACCCGAATAAGAAATTCATAATAAGCAATAAAAATATAGTCAATATAGCTTTTATATGATTATTTATAGTCCAAGTGAATTTTCACCCTATTTTAAAAATAAATAGAAAATTAACCCTAAATTTTCTACAAGGCAAACTACAATTTCAACCTTTGGCCCGTAAAATGTTGTTTATGTTCTGCTATCAAATTATGACCAAGAAACGTATATATTGAGTTCATTATTATATTACTTAACATTACTTTCAACTTTCTTAAAAATTACTTCATAACAACATAACCTAAAAACTATTCTAGATGGCTGAAAACATGGGCAATAGTTCGAGTATGTGGATGAAAACTTTCGAGGAAATTAAAGATAAACATGACTTGGCCTTTGTTGCGATAGATGAGGCTATACGTCTGGAAGAAAATGAGAAACCTAATGAGGTGAGTCAACAAAATCATTTTAATTGTAAGCTAAATAAACATCAACAAAAATAACGCAGAAACCAGAAATGTTGCCTTTTTAATGGGCATAGGTATAATCTTTATTGTTTAATAAATTTTAATTATTTTTGTTTTATTATATAGCCAAATACTTGATTTTACACCAAAATTGCAAAATATATTGAAATATATGAAAATACCACAAAAACACTACTGAAAAACCATTTAAAAACAAATAATATGTATGCCCAAATAATAAAATGTTAAATTTTATATATAGTAAACAAATAATAAAATGTTAAATTTTATATATAGTAAACATAATTTTTCTCAAACAATAGTTATTATAAGTAATTACATAAATTAAATTTAAGGCCATAGAAAAGTACAAACAGGGCATTGAGCTAATAGATCTGGCTTTAAACATCCAAGTAACATGCCCTGAAACTCCAGACATAACATGGGAGAAGGCCTGTGTTATGATACAAAAAATCAAGAAAACTCGGGCCGAAGTTTTGATGAGAATCAACAGCATTCAGTCAGTGCCTGGTTTTATTCAAACTCTTACTGATACAGATCCACCTTCATATGATGAGGCCATGTCCTCTTTGTCTTCAGACAGCAGTGATGTGCCAAGAACTTACAGAGATTTAGCAACAGCATTAAACGAATTAAGTATTGATCCAAATCTGAGATTGGAAGAGGAGGTTATTTATTTGCATGATGGTGTGAGAATTTACTTTATTAATTCTAATGGGGAGGTTACATCTACTGAAGATCCTCAAACATTAAAAATTTCATTGGTTGAGGCTGAAGGGCCAAATGCACCAAAGGCAATTTTGCAAGTTGGTAATTGGGTTTATCCTTTAGTTCCTGGGGTTTCACCCTGTTTTAGGACTGATTATGGGGCTTTTATTTTGCCAAACTTAGAGGAACCAGGTATATCTTTAGTTTAATTTACCTTATCATTTTTTATAATTTATTTTATTTAGGCTCTTCAATTGGTATTATTTTACCTGAGGATGCAGATTCTGACGTTTTTGATTTATTGGAAAATATTCTCCATGGTATAATAGGCTTTGAAAAAGAACCTCTTACACACCATAGACCAAGGCAAAGAAGGGAACTTCCAACAGACACAAGTTCAAAAATATCAACTTCCATACAAAATGGTAAACAATTAAAAAATAATAATTAACAACTAATTTTTCAATATTTAGGAGCATGGTATCTTTCACAGGGTTTAATTAAAGGAGCCGAAAAAGCTGGAGATTTAATTAATTATGGTACACCAAAATTAATAAATACATTGCAACCAGCTACACAACCAACTCATATTAATCCAAAATTACAAAAAGGGATCCACATGGCTGAAACTGCTACTAGCAAAGCTGTTGTGGTTACTGGATTCGTTGGTAAATATTTAAATTTACTATTTCTTTTGTTTGTGGGGTATTTTACTTATTCTGCAGATCAAAACAGACATATAAAAAATTTAAAATAATTTTTTATTTTTGTAAATTAAATTTATAATTTATAACTAAGAAATAAATTATCATGCAAAAAGACCTCTTATGAAATTAACCAAATTGGGCGAAAAAGTAATTATCGTTACTTTCGTCACGCTCGGTATGATTTTGTACAATATAATAATATATTATTATACGAGGTATTATAATAAAGTATATTCACAAGGATGAGGGTTGTAGGCGAGAGACTTAAATCATCCGAGTAAATAATGCGCATTATTTTCTACTCCAATTAAGTAATTTTCATTGATAACAAAATTTATTATAACCTCACTTTTTCCCGATTTTAAACCCGATTGGTTCAAATAACAGTGAATATTTAAATCAGCCAATCACTGGCCTATCAACGTGAATAATGAGTTCAATATTCCCGTTCTTAGGCCGGGCGGTTATATTGGTTACCATTATTTAGGAAAAAACCCAAATAATGTCAATAATATGCAATAGGAGTAGAAAAAATAAGATATCAAATGGTAATAAAATTTTAACAGCAATTAACTACTGAAATGCAAACAACATATTTTATTGATAAATTTAAAAGGTCAAATAAACTGGTCTTTAAAAGACAAAACAAATATTATTTTAGTTATTTTAAATTACTAAAATTTACCAAACTGTTCAAAATTTGAAAGAGCAGTCTAAAAATATACCACACGTTTGCACAATAAACTTTCACTTTTAATTGAATAATTTCAAATTTAATGGCCAACTTTGGCAATGTTAACAAATGTTGACAGGTTTTAAAAAATAATATAATATATTATTATTATTCCTTAACAAATTACAGATAATTATTACTAATTATCTGTAATTTGTTAAATAATAATAATAATATATTATATTAATTATACTAATAATAATAATCAACTTTATTGGAAAATCCAAATGGCGTGTTGCGCCTTCCTGCCTAAATTATATTATTTTTTAAAACCTTTTAAGATTTTTCATTGTTTGCGGGATTTTAGTTAAATATGAATACTATGTACAGGAGAAAACGATCAAATTGTTTAATTTTAAGATTAAAAAAACAGATGAGAAAAAAATATTTTAATCGCGAGTTTTATATGCATACAAAATACTAAGAAATGCCTTACAAATAATGGCAAAATCTCAATTTAATTTTTTTTAGACTTAAATAGTTATTATATAAATATCAAAACAAATAAAATTTTCCAGTTCCAGTTTTTTTATAATATTTATATTTTTAACTCAAAAAAATAATTATATTTCTTTCAAAATAATTATGTATAATTATTAATTAAGGTAATCTACAATTATTGTATCTGAATATTTTAGAAACGCCATATTTTAGAAACGCCATATCATATGATATCACATGTTATTGTGTCATCAGAGAAACAAAAATATTACATACATATTAGGGTGGAAAGTCCGATTTTTGCCGCAGAGAACTTAATATTTGCAAAAGGAAATACATATACATATATATTTTTTACAGCCTTCCATTCAAACTTTCCTTAAAAGTATAATATGTAATTAATAAAAAATTATCAAACTTGGCACAGTACGATACAAGTACAATAAGAAAACATCAAAAACCATTTTTCCCAATTTTTTTTAAATCACACCCCCTATTGAGAGTATTTTTTTTTATTTTTCCAATACGAGTATGATTTTAAAAATTTGGGAAAAATTGCTTTTGATGCGCCTTATTGTACTTATAAACTGTGTTTGGTAATGTTTTATTTCTTACTTAAATTGTGAATGGAAAAATACATGTATTTCCTATTAAACATTTCAAGTGCTCTGCAGCAGGTGTTAATTAATGTTAATCGATTTTGCTGTCTTTATCACTTTTTTGGGCCAGGAATTCGTAAAAATAAGCCCCACCCTAACACACATATATATATATATATATATTTTTTTTTTTAATTTATTATTTGTTTCTGATATACTGGCTGAAGGACCTTGGTCAATGACCAAATGTTAAACTATTTTTCTTTTTTTGCAATAAATTTAATTTTATTATTAATTAGAGATGGGAAAATTCCCATTTGACGAAAATTCCCGGAAACTTTCCATCGAAAATTCCCGAAATTTTCCGAAAGTTTCAAAAAAAATTTTTTTATTGCGAAAATATTTTTTTTTATGCCAGGGATTTGCAAAAATATGTAACACATTAACTTTTTGTCAAATTTTATTAAGAAAAAAAAAATGATTATAAGAATGTAACTGCAATAATATTTTAGTATCTTTTACTTTGGAATATTCCTATTGTATACAGCTGAAACCTACAAAATAAAAATAAAATGTTTACTATTGGAAATTCACTGCAAGTAAATCCTAGATATTACGTAAAAAAAATTAAAAGGGACAAAGTAACTAATAAATAGGAATATTGAAAAGTAAAAAGTAAAGTAAAAAATAATTCCAAACACTAGATTTTTTTCTTGGCATTGTGCTATGCCTATAAATAAACAACAAAAATGTAAGAATGATTTTAACTTTGTTTATTGTTTTTATTTTGTTTACCTTTTTTTAAAAAAGTTTTTTTGTGATGATGCTGAATAATCCGGCTTCATTGAGGTTATGTAACATGATTTATTATCTATGATTTATTATCTATGAACATAACTTACATTATTTATACTTCTTCTGCTTTAAATTAACACACTTTAAATTCTTATTAGTTATAGGCCTTGTAGGTATCATGGCCTTAACGAAAATCAGCGGTTAAACAATTGACATTTAAATGAATAAAACAAGGAAAGTTTCCAAGGAATGTTTCCAAGGAATGTTTCCGGTAGCTTAAAAGAAACTTTCAAAATGAAAATAAATTACCAATTGGAAACTTTCCAAAACGGAAAGTTTCCTTAAAATGGAAACTTTCCGATTCCCATCTCTATTATTAATATCAATCCATATGAAAATGTAATTTTTATGCATTTTTATGCTTTATTAATTTAAGCTGTAATTTTTTTCTATTAAAGATATTTTAAATTTTAAGATGTCTTTTTAAAGCTAAAAAAAGATGGTCAAATAGGCATTTCATTTTCAAGGTAAGGACTAAATACCCTGTTAATGTCATATTTCTATATTAAATTCGACATACATAATGGATGAAATAATGCGACTTTTTAATATTTCAATATTTTTCTCCTGTATAACCCATTGGCGGCTGGTGGATTTTGGGCACACCCATATCTTAGTTATTAGACATGGGACCAACAATTAAAGTTTGCGAAAAAAAGTTAGTTTTTAAGTGTGCCCCCCAGCCTTATGCCCCCCAAATTAAATAATTCAAATTAAAGTGGTACTTATTTCACTGAAGTTTATCGACAAATTTTAAATGTTATTAAAAAAATTCAAGAATTACAGGTTTTATACCATTTTAAATTTTTATTATTTCTTTTACTAAATTAAAAAAAAAATAGAAATGTTATAAAATCTGTAATACTTGAATTTTTTTAATAAAATTTGAAATCTGGTGATTAACTTCACTGAATTACATATTGTACCACTTTAATTTGAATTATCTTAATTTGGGGGGGACAGGAGGCTGGGTTGGCACACTTAAAAATTAACTTTTTTTCGTAAACTTCCATTTAAATTCTGCTTGCGCAGAACTTGTCTATTTAATGTCATTATAAACTCATATAAATTTGATGTGGGTCCCATGTCTAATAACTGAGATATGGGTGTGCTCAAAATCCACCAGCCGCCACTGGTATAACCATCAAAGAAGAAAATAACAAAACCAAACTACCAGGCATTTGAACATTAAGGAAGGGGCTAATTATCCTGTAAATTTCATAATTCTATTTGGATGTTGACATCCTCATATAATGGCCTAAATAATGCGATTTTTTAAAATTTCAAGCCTTTTTTTTTGGAAACCCTATGAAAACGGGTCAATTTTTGTTTTGTCTTTGGTATGTAAACTTAATATATGAAAAAATATTTAACAGCCGAGACAAGCATTTAAAAAACACGAAAAATTAGTAAAATACAAGTTTTTTCAGCACCGTGTAATTATATAGAAATATTGATTGAGTAAATTTATATTTTTTTTTTATAAAAACTACTATCTTAAAATGACATATTAAAATTTAAAATATATTTAATAGAAAAAATTTTGCAGCTTAAATTATTAAAGCATAAAAATGACGTTTTTAAAAGTTTTAATTCGAATAGGCCGGATTTAAAGCCTGCGAAAAATTAAATAAGGGTGGATTTTATTCTTTGGGACCTTAATAAAGATTTCTTTAAAATTTGAGCAAAATCCAAGATGGGATTGTCTAATTAGTATTATCCATTTAAATTCAAGCTTTTAATTATAACCGAATTTTTTAACTAAAAATATTTTATGCATAGCTGACAAAGTTGGTTTTGTCACGATGAAGCTGGGAAAATTTTTGGCACCGCACATCCAAAAAGGCGGAACCAAATTATTGACATCCAGTTTTAATATTAGCGAGCAGGAAGCTTCCGATAAGATGAAAGGCGTTTTAACGGTGACTGCAGGAGCTGTTGAAGGGTTTTCCACCGTTTACAGAGGTCTGGAAACGTCTGCATCCATATTGGGTAACAATCTTAAGGCCAACACCGTGAAAGTTGTCAACCACAAGTGAGTTATTAGCAAAAAAATATTAAATATATAAATAATATAATTAAAATATATATTAATACCATTGAAACCAAATCTTTTAAACACATTATGTTTTGTCGTTAAATTAACCTGGATCTATGTTGATTTGTTTTTAGATATGGAAAAAATGTAGGATGTCTGACAGATGATACTTTAAACACAGTAGGAAATGTTTATAGTATAAGTCAACATTCAAAAATTATAACACCCAAGGGTTTGGCAAAAAGAACTGGAAAAGATATGGGTAAGGCAGTTATTAGAGCTTATAATCATACTGTCAACCATAGTGAGCCCAACATGACACCAGGTAGGTGATTCTTTTTTTTGTTATTTTATTATTGCACCACAAATCATTTCATATGTTTTTTATTCATAGCAATTCATTTATAACAAACATTGCATAATAATATGTTAGGTCATATGCAATAATTATTGTTAACCTTATGTTTTTGCGGTAATTAATAATTTCCAATTAAAAACGTATTACTGGTTATATTTTTTTTTTTTTTAACTTAAGTCTAAAAATACCTATTTGTCATAAGATAAGTAAATAAAATGTCTAGAATATTCATTTTAAATTAGGTCTTCAAATGAATTATTTTTTTATATTGATCGGTCTTTAATCAATCAGGTTTTTAATGGAAAGCTAAGTGGAAACCATAATTTAAAATTTCCCCACACCAAATATTTTTAACACAAAAATTTAATGAAAATCCCAGCTCATAATTACACTTTTAAGACGATTCTCAAGTTTAAACATTTTCCACTGAATTGACAGAGGAAAATGATTTTTTCCATTATTTCTCCCTGCAACCATTGCATCCCATGCAGACATTAGGTGCGTTAGGTGCGTTCTTTTCGCCTGAGATCTCAGCTCACTTCAGTTAATGTGATATGAGATGTTATGATGTGACTAAGCATTAAAAAGAACGACACACTCAATTGAAACTGTCGGAGCATACGTGAATAAGAGGCAACATAACCTATTACTGATATGACATAAAATAAAAATTTAAAAAAACTTCAATTTGACATGTTTTCATTAATTTTATGGTAAAATAGTATATTCTGTAACAAGTTTGGAATACAGCATATTCCGCTCGAGTGAAGTTTGTCACACGAGCCGAAGGCGAGTTTGACGGTTTCACGAGAGCGGAATATGCAATTCCAAACGTGTTTCAGACTATACTTTTTCTATGTTTCCAAAAAATACCATAGAAAAATAATCAGGGCTCCCACACCTCCTAAAATTCATAAAATTCTTCTTTGGCTTAAAACTTAAAAACTCCTAAAATTGCCATCAATCTCCTAAAACTCCTAAAAATTAAATATAAGTAGGCCAACTTGACTGCGTTTAATTAAGGTAGTTGTGCTAAAAAAATTCTATTTAAAAAGTAATTTAAAAAATATATATTTTTGGGTTCTAGTTTATTAAATTCTTTTTAAAATGATATAGGTATCACAACCTACATTTTTCTTAAAAAACAACAAAATATACCATAAAACAAAATCCATGTAGTAGCGTCTAGACTTCTATAAAATTGTCATTTTTAGCCATATTTCGGTAATTTTCGACAAAAATATACAAAAGGATTTTTAATTTTCTTTTAAATGATAGCTAAAATAGTAAACAATCTAAAGAATGTTTTGCTGTATCATGCACTTTATTTTTTTTCTATTCTGAGATTTTTTAGTAACAATAACATTACAATTATTGTTAGTTATTAATTAAAATGTTAAATTTTTTTTTTCAAAATATAAATATAACATCATTAAACTTTGGCCTACTTTTTTAGCCATATCTATCGAAGCTTTTTTTTAAATAAAATTAAAAGTGTGGTGAAATTTCTACCTGTGTAGGTAGGTATATACAGTTGTATTCAATAAAAAAGCGTACAAGAATTAGAATGAGAGAAAACTGTCAAAATAATATTATTGCTTAAAACCGGCTTATCACTGACATAAGTCATTAAAATAATTATTATAGGTTATAAAGAGCATTGCCGTCGTAGGTTAATAATAATAATAATATTATATATATATATATAATAATAATATTATATATATTATATAATAATATTACAAAAATTATTACCTTTTAATAATGAAAAAAACAAACATTAAAAAAAATTTAATATTTAGTCATGCATCCCTGTTTTTCTATTACTTGAGCCAATCTATTTGGGATGAACTGAATTAAATTTAATACAATATTTGTAGTACAGTCATCTTAGTCAAAAAAAGGGATCAACCTCGGAATCTAACGGAATAAGCTGAATTTTTGTGAAAACCTTTATTTTAGCATTACAAATGTTGTCTCAAAAGTCACATATGCCAACGTGTGAGCGGCCTTAGATATTCAAGGTCAAAGGTCGCAAAAATCAGTTTTTTAAGAATATCTCGTTTTCTCTGCCTCCTATCGTATTTGCATTTATTATAAAAGTTGTAGAAAATAAAATTCTCTACAAATTTTGTTTACAAAATTTTTTTATACGTTGAACCGTTTTTGAGATAGAGGGCGCAGAGTGTGGAGCGCTCAGCCATACGTACCTTTAGCGCAAGATAAATCGTGAATCCCAATCTATTATACCGTTTTTTTAATTAATTATATAATAAATATTACTAAAATAAAAATTTAATACCTTATACTTATATTTATATTTCTTTTAAATCAAATATATTTTATCTTCATATACCTATATCTTACTAATGAATTAGTTAAAAATGACTAATTTAATAGTTATTAGTGGCTGCTTTTTCACTTGTACCATGGTTAACCATGGAATACCATAGTATCCCAAAATTTAACAGCCAATTCTTATGTAAAATTGTCCCCTGAATCCGAAAATGTCGTCAAAAGTTAAAAAACTAGAACAGTTTTTGAGATATAGTCAATTTTCCATTTCATATGAAATTGACTATATCTCAAAAACTGCTCCACTTTCATAATTTTTGACGGTATTTTCGGATTCAAGGGACAATTTTACATAAGAATTGGCTGTTAAATTTCTTGATACCATGGTATTCCATGGTTAACCAAGGTACAAGTGAAAAAGCAGCCACTAACAACTATTAAATTAGTCATTTTTGACTAATTCATTTTTAGAGAGTATATTTTAATTTAATTTTAATGAAGGATAATTGAATCGGAGTAGGAAAAAATGTTTTTATTTATATCAATATAATTATTATTATTATTATTATTAATCTTTATCTTCTTCATCCTCGTCTTCTTCAGGTTGGCCAGCCATTTCAGACTCATTCTCATCATCACTCTCCTCGTTATCATTGACATTAATTGTCATATCTTCAAAAACGTACTTATAACGCGTTTGTACTTTGCAGATTTTTTTGCCTTTGTTGCCTCATCCGCCACTTCACCACAAAATAAGCACAATATTTTAAAATCAAACACATCATTCCCTTTTTTACGAGGTACAGTTGATGACGTTGAAGGTCCAGTCTCTTCAAGGCGACGTTTTGCTGCTGCAATTTTACTATAGTACGTTATAGCGTACAATTTTCGACACTCAATATGAACGTTCACAGAATTCAAAGTATTTAGGTAGTTTATGTTTATTTCTCTCAATAATTGCTTCTTTTAAAGTCTTTATACCGCGCACAAAAGTCACAGAATCACCTTCAGAAAGTAACTTATTACAAATAAAACACAAATCAGCCATGTTAACCTTTAAAATATTACGAATATTACTTGTCACAACCCTAGACCTATACCTAGGGTCACAACTTGCTTTAAAATTTAATATAGGTATACCTAACCTTTTTATTTATAGCAAGCCCACTATAGTATTTCCAGGTCTGTTATTTTAAAAGCAATATCTGGATCCAAGAGATGACCAGAGACATATTTAAGGCAAATTCATTTAATGTCTTTTCTTCTTAAAATCCATTTATCATTAATTAGAATAACATTAGAATATATTAGAATGATTCACTTCATTATTTAATTATTTGTATCTCAAAAGTAAGTAATATTTAATGACTATTTGTTTTAAAAATATATATAAAACTAAATATAAGGTATTAAATTGTTATTTAAGTAATATTTAATAAATAATTAATTAAAAAAACGGTATAATAGATTGGGATTCATGATTTACCTTGCGCTAAAGGTACGTATGGCTGAGCGCTCCACACTCTGCGCCCTCTATCTCAAAAACGATTGGACGTATAAAAAAATGTTTTAAACAAATTTTGTAGAGAATTTTATTCTCTACAATTTGTATAATAAATGCAAATACGATAGGAGGCAGAGAAAAGGAGATATTCTCAAAAAATTGATTTTTGCGACCTTTGACCTTGAATATCTAAGGTCGCTCACACGTTGGCATATGTGACTTTTGATACAACATTTGCAATGCTAAAATAAAGGTTTGTACAAAAATTCAGCTTATTCCGTTAGATTCCGAGGTGAAATGCCTATATGACTGGACTATTGGATTAATATCTTCCCAGCAGTATAGTAGGTATAGTAATGTTGTATAGTTTCCCATAAATCCTCAGATATCTCAAAAAAGCAGCATCCTGTTCAGGGGTGGACATTTTGGGACGACCTGAACCAACTTTTTGGTTTAGTAAATCTTCCTGTTCCCAGCGTTGCTTAATTTTTAATATAGATTTTTTATTTCTATTATACCACAATACGAATTGACCATTCTTCTTCGATTCTTGATACTATTTAAGCCTTTTTAACTGACGAGGCATTTTTATTTTCTACTGTCAGTTATAGTGACTTAAATCAGTGGAAAGCCGGTTTTACGCAATAATGTTGACAGTTTTCTCTCATTCTAATTCTTGTACGCTTTTTTAATGAATACAACTGTACCTTAGATATATACAAAAGTAGTAATTTTACGTCACTTTTCATTTTATTAAAAAAAACTCGTCAAGCAATTTGGCTAAAAAACTAGTCAATATAACCTATTTGAACAAAAGAAGTGATATTTATTTATATTTTTGTTAAAAAGAATTACCTACTTATTTTTTTCTTATTTTTTATGTATAGTGTAGAGTTGTTTTTATTTAATTAAATAAATTCATTTGCATACTTTATTTCTCCTAAAGTTCTCCAAAAAACCTCCTAAATTCCTAAATAAAATTTGTAATTTAACCGTGGAAGCCCTGAATAATTTAATTGGAAGAAAGTGAGGTTGGATCGGTCTAAAATTTGTTAGATATTAAAAACAGAGATTTCGCCACGAGTGTTCATTCTGTCATCAGATGATAGAATATTTTATTCTGTAACACTTTACGGAATATATGTCATTCCATAGATAAAAGTGATATTAGAAGGGTCAAATTCCGTAATAGGAGTAGAAAAAGTGTTTAGGGATAGAAAGTTGTAGGCCAATTTTATTTGATATTTGTCACTTTTTTCAATTTTAATTTAAAGATAACTTCAGCCCGTTGCAACGTATACCTCTAAATAGTCGAAATAATAACGATAAATATACTTTAGTAAAACTTTATGTGTCGGGAATAAAAATATATTTAGGATAAATAAACTGTACCCTTGTCCCATATTTAAATATTTTTTTTATTTGGGAGCAATAAACTTTTTTCTCCGTGTAGTGGAAAAAGTAGGATTCCCCCATGGGTTAAATTAAATAAAAAATTAAGGATTTTTTATTTCACCTACCCTCATTAGGGCCACGTATGTATTAGTATATTATCATACAAGAGATTATGCACATTATCCTCGTGAATAATAGCCTACATTATCTCTCATATAATAATATACTGTTATTGTATCTTTAATAGTGAAAACTTTAAAGGTTATATGCTTACAAGTCATTTTTAAGAAAACGTTACCTACCTCAAATATGCTTTATATGTCTTCTAAAAAAAAAAAAAATTATAAATTATATTTGTATTTATTTAATAGCACATTATAGACCAGGCGGTTTGTCCACATATTATAGCCAAGCATACATTTTAGTATCCATTTTAAAACGTTTATTCTAATTTAGAATTTCTAAACCGTTCATATAAAATATTTAAATCTGAAAGATGAGAATCAAGAGAGATAAACCAAGTATACATTTCACTGCCCAGGCGCTAGCCGAGACAGTAGATTGAGATGAGGTTATTAATAAGATTTCGCCGCCCTGTTTTTTTTACTACTTTTTTTTCAAGCATTTAATAAGAATATTTCTTTTGTCACTTCATTTTTAGCTTAGGTTCAACTGACATTTTAGCTTCATTATAATAATTTGTCTTTTGAACTAGTATTAATATTAAGTCTTTCCATGAAGACTTATAATTGTTATAATATGAAAATTATTATACTCTTAAAAAAGTATTCTATTTACTAAAAATTAAATTACCCAGTATGGACAACAAAATTAAATTTTTTTGTCTGCCTATTTATGACCAACAACTTTCTTAGGGTATTTTGGGTGCGCTGATTCAAAAAATGTCCATGATTTTGCTTAAGTAGCTCTAGTTTTTGCAATATTAAAAAAAACCGTTTTTTTCGATAGGCACATTCGAATTCGAATTTAACCAAAAAATTATACACCCTCATAAAGTTATTTCTTTGTTAAATCCTATTTTAACGAAATAAAATCGATTTTTAAACAAAAATTCGACAATCTTCAAAGTTTAAAGCGCTGTGAAAAATTATTATTATTTATTATTATTAAAAAAACATGGAAATTAATTTAGTTTGTGCGGGAAATTCAAATTTTCAATGTAGCCAACGTAATATAAGTGAATGTTCCCAATAGGGAATTTTATTTTTTTACCATTGGCAACATCGACCGCATTCCTTGCATATGGTCAATTGAAAAACCCACCTGGGTTTTTGCTGAATCAACATCAATCTGGGATCCGGCAATTATAATACTTTTATTTTTATTTTTTTTCATAAAAAAAACTAAAATAGGTACCAATTTATAAAAAATAAATGAAATAAAATTTTATTTCGAATTAAAATTTTATATACAAATTTTACCTATTTTCATGTTTTGTTAATTTTTAAACTCTCGGTATAATATAGGGTTTTTTGATAAATTAGTCAGCTGTACTATAGTAATAGTAATATTAGTAATAAAACCTTAATAAATACGGTATTTATTTTATCGAAGTGTATATGTACAGAGGCGCCTCTGTAGATAAAGTTACGGTTATGTACAGAGGCGCCTCTGTTGATAAAGTTACGGTTATGTACAGAGGCGTCCCTGTAAAAAATATTAATATACAGAGACGCGTTGACTTGTATTAAGTATACTATAGTGTTATATGGTTTAAATTCATTTTATTTTCAAACATTAGGTACTATATATTTGAAATGCTAGCGTCTAGAGGCACCGAATTATCTTGGCTCCCTGGCTCCTAGATATGCGCGTTTTATGTACTCAAACAACTCAACAACACAACCCAACCGACCCCGCCCCATTAAAAAGTGTTTTATTTTCATCGTAACATAAATTTGCCCATTTTAGTTGGGTTTTTTGCTCAATGGGGCGGGGGGGGCCCAATGGGGCGGGGTCGGTTGGGTTGTGTTGTTGAGTTTGAGTACATTTCTATAAAACGCGCATCTCTAGGAGCCAGGGAGCCAAGATAATTAATCTGCCTCTGTACATAACCGTAACTTTATCTACAGAGGCGCCTATGTACGTATACACTTCGTTTATTTATTTAATATACCTAACCTAAATAAATAAATAAACAAATAAATAATAAATATTATTTTTACAGGACTAAAAAATCTTTTATAAAGAAAAATATTACACTATTTCGTATATTTTTAGTAAATTTATCCTCTTTAAAACCCCAAAATATTAATTATATCTACTGAACAATTAAATATTTGTAAAACATTAAACTGATTTCTACTTTAAAAGCTTGGACATAATTAATGTAAAGATTATAAGATTATTATATTTATTATTTTTTAAAAGTTTTGTGTTTTTTGCTCCCAATGTAACTACTGTAATGTAATAAATAAATTAAAATTAAAATTCAGTCAAATTAATCACAATTCTTACAAAAAACAATCCAGGCCACAGCGGTGCCAAGAAGACACTTATTTAGCATGATAGAATAATTATTTGTATTATGCTTATTTAGGATAAAACTTTATCAAGCGAGAGCGAAAAGTGCGGTGTAGAAAGGGGTGTAGCACGTGCCGCAAGAGTGACAGAACGGTAAGGTCGCTCACGTCGAGGATGTATGGCGCACCTAGAAAAGCGGCAACGCTGTCAACGTAGTTTTTTGCACCATTATTTAAAAAGTTAATGATTTGCGAATCCGCAGTGCTGGATCCAGCATGCTGAAAAATGCGCTGGATGAGGGATCCAGCAATTGCAATCTCCAAAGCTCAATCTATTTAATTTATTTTGTTAAAGTTTGAAGGCAATCGAATATCGCGGTTGTTTTCATTGCCATTTTGTCAATTCTTATTCAATTATGTTGACATTTTAACACAATAAATTAGATAAATGAAGCTACAAATTTTATAAATTTCAATGTATAATAAATATCGGACTAAAATTGTTTGAACTTTGAAAATAAATATTCGCAGTTAAAACTTGATTGAATAGAATAGATCAGTTATATGAACAAAAGTGTCTACATGGGTTGCTGAAAGAAATAATAAAAAAAACATTTTCCTATGCTATTTCAATAGGAAATGTTTAAGCTGGTTTTTACTTCTGATTTACTTCTTTATTTAATAAACACATGAAACTAAATACACAAAAGGTTATGGACATCTTACAATACTATCTTTAAGTCATTTCATTTTTAATATAAGATACTATTTACTACGCCAAACTTGTTGTAGGTACTTCTGGAATTCAAAGTGTTCCTATAACAAATCATCCAGAACCAGTGACATATCCAAATCTTCTAAATACTCAACATGTTGATCCCACTAGGCCTTTATTGCCCAGTGGTGGCAGTATAAGCCCCACTGATGAAAAAAGGAATTTCCAAAATTTTTAATACTTACCTACTTAAATTTTACAAAAAATATTATTGTTGTTTAAGATATTTAAAATATTTACTCAGTTTTGGGATTATTGTGATAAAAGTAGTTTTTACTTAAACGTTTATATATATTTTATAATTGTAATATTCCTTATTGTTATCATTTTGTTAAACAATGTTACGTTTATTTATTATTTTTTAGATATTTTACTATCAAAACAAGAACAAATGCTTATAAAAACAGAATTGGAAAATGCCGGGTTATTTCTTAGATATCATCTTATTTATAGCAAAAGGTAATTGTTTTAATATTTAGTTTATTTTTATTGTCTGTATTATTATTTTTCTGCTTTAATAAAACCTGTGTTTGTATAAACTGGAGTTTTAAATTTAAAGGTTCATTAATACAACAGAGTAAAAAATTAATAATTTATATTGTGCCTCTTATAAATATACATCTAGATGTAAAATTATTTCAAATATATTTCTAAATGTGTTAACTAAGTAATAATGTGTTTTTTATAATATTTTGCAAATTTCACAAGGCAACAAAATGTAAAACAACATTCAAAAGAACATATTTTACCTTTTAAATTCAGATTTCAACCACCAATTTATATTTATATTATTAAATTCATTTAAGCAAAATTATAAAACAAGTTTAACATTTAACTATGTTGCCTTTTGTGTGATGTTACAATGATAATTTTTGATATACAGTATGACCCCGGATAGGGTTGCCAAGAGGAGAAACTTCTTTATTTTTCGTTTTACGAAAAAAATGTATTCTTCATAATAGTTTTTGCTTGTTTCAAAATGGCTAAATCAGTTTCCACCGTTTCAAATTTCCTTTCCGTTCAAGAGAAACATGAAAAATTAGGTCCTTTTAGTTGAATAATTGTTTAAGTCCCAAAAATTACTTTTTGTTTTCATGGCAACAGTTAACACGACTATTGTACATTTTTCTCGTAAAATGAAAAATAAAGTTTCTCCTCTTGGCAACCCTATCTGGGGACATACTGTATATAGATATTAAAATAACAATACTAAAAATAATGACTAAATAATTTTTATAATAATAAAACTAGTTATTTTATGTTATGTAGGACAACGATTAGTAGACCTTAAAACTCTATCTTACAAAAACTACTATAAAATATTTGTTTGCGTTTTAAAAATCTTAAAACTTCCATGTAGGTCTCGGGGTAGGGGCACTTTTTTGTCGTCTGATAGAACCAGCTCTGCCCAGTGTTGTTTCTTCACTTATGGTTACTAAATATCGTTTGGTGTGCTCGGTGGGCGACAGCACGAGAACTTCGTTTGAAGTTACGGTGTCGCTCATGGAAACTCGCCGTTTCTAAAAATAATTAATAAAAATGTTTTAAGATTCAGTATTTAACTATTAATTATTATTATAATGTTTTTTGTATATGGAGTCTGCAAATATATTTTAAAAATACTATACTTACTATTTACTGTGATTGTGACATTTAAATAGCTTGACACTGCTTTAAAAATTTAAGTATACCTACCAATTAAAAGGTGCAGTTTTTCTATTTAATATTTTGCGTGCCAGTGTTAAAATTTTACTTAATTTTAGGCTTATTTTGTAACATAAAAGGCTTTATAGTGTGTGGCAAATAGACTTTATGGAGTGGAGTAGGTTTGAAGTGAAATCAAGTGCTAAATTCTACGTAATTAAAATTAATATATTTGTGGTAATAAAAAAGCTACTACATAGCGTAATTACTGCAACTTTATTGTACATATTTAATTATTAAGTTTTACTATAAACTAAAGATATTATTCTGAAAAAAAATTGTCAAAAAGCTTATGATGTTGTAGCATCCCATTTGTTAAGGGAAAATGAATGCAATTTAAAATATATTTTTTGTTAAAAATAAAAATCATAGGTGGGCTACATCAAAGTTGTGATAAACTTTTTGCCAATTAACAAACTTTTAAAACTATTACAAACTAACTATAATATGATAACGTTTTCAACCTTAAATTTAACAGTACAAATATTATTTGGTCATATCCTAGGTATCACAACACCAAAAAATTAATAATCTTACATTATGTAATACATGTTAAAAATTGATATTCATTGAAACACCAGATATATATTCAAATTATTATTTTTTTAACAAATAAAAACAAAAGTTACTGCTTGAATGAAAATTGGAAAATATGCTTTACATTTCTACTAAATTTATTGTAAAAGCAATTAGTGAACACTAATTTTTAATAAAAATACAGTGTTAGTTAGCTATTTTTAGTTATACAATTCAATTTTTTTATTACAATTCATGCAAAATGGTCTCATGCTAAAATTTTAGTCATTAAGTTTACTTTTACAGCCTTACTGCTTCAACTAGTTTCTGACTACTGCTAATACTGTGATTATATGTTTTTTTTATGAATATGGTTACATTATATTATATTATTAATATAATAAAACTTCTTATAAGAGCAGTCGTCAATCACTAGCGGCTACTTTTCCGTATGTCTTTCTCCATTCTTATAGAGCTACTTTTACATTGTCATTATTAATGACTCAATAAGACAAATGGTTTTAGTGAACAAATGTTTGTTAGTACTAATAATTTTATGGGTTTAATTCTGCTGGTTAAGATTTTCGTCTGATCTGGGTCCGGGAACGTCTGGTTGGGACGGTAATGAGTTCTAATAAAATAATTGTTAATTATTAAACTACTAAATACAAAATTCCAAAAATAACAATTGTTATATTAAGTACATTTTTAGTACAATATATGTACTGTATAACAATTTAAAAATTAATAATTGTTAATTAATGTATAGATAAATATATATAAAACTTATCAATTTATAAAACAATTATAAACATGCAAATACTAAAAAGGCCATGCGATTAATTTTTTTAGTATATTTTTAATATATTCTGTCAATATAATTAAATTAATCTTCTTATTTTCTAATCTTAATATTTATAAAAAAAATTCTATTATATCTAAAGAAAAGCAAATTTGCCTTTTCAACAAAAAATAGTGTGGTAATTTAGGATTGATGATGGCTAGGTTTTAAAACATTTTTTAATCTATTTTTAATTCTAATTTAAAAATTTGACATGGATTTTAATTTAACTAATACAAATTACAACTAAATTTGTTTGAGATTATAATACAAAAATTAAAATTTTAGTTCAAGCAATCCTGAATTAGACAAAAACTAATTTCCGTGAAGAAGATTAAATTGTAGGTATAACTTTACATTGTGCGGTCAAATTATTTCAGTCTTTTTTCTTTGGATTAAACAGAATATACTCATCAATAAATAGAAAAGCTCGATGTTAAGGTTAAACAATCTTGAATTATACCTTAGATGTTAAATGAAAATGATGAAATCAATAATAAGTATACAGATACTCAGGTTCCTGGAAAATGAATTAAATAAAAATGTGACTAAAAAAAAATTAAAAAAAATGTCCAAAAAAAGTAATATTAAATATGGTGTCCCATGTAAAAGAGTCTGTTTTTGTTCAAATACAATGGTGGTTTGTTATGCGTTGGGTTGTAAAAGTTATATATGTTATAATGACGAAAATAAAGAGCATGGAATAACCTTTCACAGGTATTATCGATTTAAGGTAATTATTATAAATCTATTTATTTAGAGTTTACCACCCTAAAATCAGGGAGACAACGTTCAGCGTTATATAGACGTGTTCTGAACATTTTTTCTTATTTGACGCTTATGTAAGCGTCCAATCCAATCGATAAGGAACAATCCTTATCAATAAGAATATTCTCTGAGCGACTACCCTTGTGATTTTTTTCGTTAGCCGTTAATTCTTGTGCGATTTTTAATTTAAAAAAAAGTTGTTTACCCTTTTATTCCAATCCATATCTGTTAAATTAAATAAACAAATATGCGGTATTTTATTTAGTTTGATATTTATAATAATTATGTTAATTAATTAAATTATATATAAAACTGTTTAGTTGACAGTTCGGTTCTCTTTTTCAACGTTCTGATTACGCGTTCATTCTCTTCAAAAAATATATTATAATTGTAATTTAAAATAGATTTGGTATTGCAATTACAATATTTTTTGTTTAAAGGTGCCATGATTCATTTAAATTTAAAAAAAAAACAATTAATATAATAATTTTAAATAAAAATAATTTTGGTAATACAAAAATTATTTTTATTTACAAAAAATATTGGAAATGCAATTTTTCCCTTATTATTCAAATTGTTCTTCACTCATTTGCCCCTTCAATTATTTAAAAAATAAATTAACCGCCTGGTTTAGGTAAAAAATGTTCACTAAATCGCCATGGACCCATGAAATTTTGCATGGTTAATTAGGAAATAAAATGCCACTTATAGGGGTACAAAATGAATTTTTTGAACTTCCGGTTTCGCCGGAAATGATACCAACTTTCGATTTTTAAATGGAATGTCCTATATATTTGGAATCCTGAGGAAATTCTGAGTCAGACAGCATCCTCAAATGGACCTTTTGACGTTTCGTCATCAGAAAATGTATCATCATAAAGATCAATCTAGTGTGCTTTGAACTATCTTATTTTCTTCTAATGGATCCAAACAATGCCTGAAAAATAGAACTTGCCTTAGAAAGTTGTTATTCAGCTATTCCCAGCAGTCTAAACTTGTCAAAATTCGTTTTTCTCAAATAGTTCAAAGCACACTAGATTGATCTTTATGATGATGCATTTTCTGATGACGAAACGTCGAAAGGTCAATTTGAGGATGCTGTTAGACTCAGAATTTACTCAGGATTCTAAATATGTAAAAATATATAGGGCGTTCCATTTAAAAATCGAAATTTGGTATCATTTCCGGCAAAACCGGAAGTTCAAAAAATTTATTTTGTACTCTTATAAGTGGCATTTTATATCCTAATTAACCATGATGGAATTTCATGTGTCTATCTTTATGAATAAAAAAGTTACAGGGGTGCGCCTTTTCTCAGATACACCCGGTATATATATATATATATATATATATATACATATATTAGGGTGCTTCAAAAAATGAAATTTAATTTTTTTTTCGCTCTTACCCTCTCAAATGTTTCTATTTAATATAAAAAAAATCCTCACTAAATATGGGCGTTCCAGCTCAACTCTAAGAGGTCGCTGTTTTTATTTTAGTTTCCCATTTAATTAACATTGGAAAAAATAATTTTATGTTTGGAATTTTATACCTCTGTATCAAAGTAACTTATGGCAATGATCATTGCAGTTTCTTATATAAAACGTAACGCTCTACAAAAGGTCTCTTATTATTTTTCGATAAATTGATTTATTCTAGAGTTATTCGAGGTCAAACTTTGATTAACATCAAATTTTCTGGTTTTTTTAATTTAATTAAAAAAAAAATGTTTCACGCTTTTAATTGAATATAATTATTCTGGGCCTGTAGAGCGAGAAAAAGGATGGTACAATTTTGGAAAACTTTTCATATGATCATTTTTTGGGTACCCCATTTTGCCCCCCCCCCGCTGCCTTGTTTTGCCCCCTTTTACCTCCTCTCTGCTACCATAAAAAAACAGAAAATTTTTGAACTCGAATAACTCTAGAAGAAATCAATTTATCGAATAATAATAAGAAAGCTTTGTAGTGCGTTACATTTTATATAAGAAACTGCAATGATCATTGCCATAAGTTACTTTGATACAGAGGTATAAAATTCCAAACATAAAATTATTTTTTCCCATGTTAATTAAATGGGAAACTAAAATAAAAACAGCGACCTCTTAGGATTTTTTTTATATTAAATAGAAACATTTGAATGGGTAAGAGCGAAAAAAAAAATTAATTTTTATTTTTTGAAGCACCCTAATACTATATATATATTTAAAAATGTTAAATGATTAGAAAACCTATATGTTATTATTATATTAAGTTTTTTGTAATTTTGATACATGAAAATTTTCTTGTTTTGAAGTAGTAAACCACTTTTACTTGGGACGCCAGAAGTGATCACCATTCTAACTACCAATAACCTAATTTAAGAATAAAATAAAACAATTTTTAAGATGATAATTTAAATAATTAATAGAAAATCTAATAAAAACTAAACAATAAATTATGGAGTAGATCTCAGGACCATTTTAAGATCGGAGTAAGAGTTTCAGTGAAAGTTTTTCCCTGCTTCATTTTGTCCATTAGACTTACCTGTGAACCGGATAGGGATTGATTTTGGCTGACGGTGCTGGGCTTTTGCTTGAGGTACTCCTTATCGTCAAAAATCTTCTTGTCACCCCCACCAGGCTTGTGCTTGACGTTGTTCAAAGATCCAATCTTGCTTGTAACGTTTAACTCGATTTTTTTAGTTTCAATCTGCAAATATTTTATATACATAAAAAAACAATTTCTCGAGATTACAAAATTACAAAAACGGTTCAGAAGATCTTGTAGAGAAATATATGTAGCCTACATAATGTAGGTATATCCTTCCCAAATTAAGATGTATTTATAATTTTTAAGTGCTTTTAAATGTGTTCTACATTTCTAAATACTTTTATTTTAATTTTTCATAATTAAATATGTAATATTTTTAATAATAATTATATATGTACGTTAAAATACTTTGCATTAAACTACAACAAACATAATTTCTATAGACGGATACAAGTGATTTTGATAGTGTTTTAGCGTGGAACAGTGAGCGTCACTTTTTAAATTGTACAATTCTCGTTACTGGTTTTTTAATTACTCACTCCGGATATTTCCTCGTCAATATTAATTTCCTCTTTCTAAAAACACGTTTTAAAATGAATTGAAAAGCACAATTCAGTTTAAGGTACCAGGGTAATTTATGTAGTTGTGCCATAAGTTTTGCCCTTATGAAGGAATTAATTACTAAAGTAATTTTTTTTATTTCTATACCTATTTGTCGTCATGAAATAAACATAGACTTGTGCTAAGCACAAATGAGTTGTTGCATTACACATTCCACTTTTAGAAATTTTCCACAAACAAAAAAAAACGTTTAATTAATAAACCAGTTAAACAAATTGATTGCAAAAATTAAGATTATATATATACAGGGTGTCCCAGAACTCGCGCCACATAGAAAACCGGAACGTGCCGAAAGTAACGTGAAACACATATTTGAAAATTAAAATTGTCTAACGCAAAGGATAAGCGAGATAAGAATAAAAAACGATAGCCAATCCCAATAGATGGCCATAGGGAATTCGTTAAATTGCTAGGATACTTAGGTTGCATTGTTGATAATAAAAAATATGTAAAATATTTGGTCCACTGGAATCCAATTCATTGTGACACTGCTGTCAAACTCCTGTCATTAATATTATATTAGGTTATAAATTAAGTTATTATCTTCTAAGGTTATTATAATATAATAAATAATGTTTTCCTTAGATGATTATACTGAAATGATAATTATTTATTTATTTAGAGTGGGCGCAACGCCAGGGAGACAACGCGAGTTTTTTCCCAGCCCTTTCCTAATCGTTATTTTAAAACATTGGCGTTCTGAAGTATAAGTCATAGATTAATAACCTCATTTTTGAAAGCTTTTGACAACTTAGTAAATACAGTTGGCCAAAAGATTTTTAAATGTTTTTAATACAACAATGTTCTATCGTCTCCTAGCAATTTTTAAAGCTCTTACGTTTAACCTAGGCGAGAGCTCTCGGTATTGGCTGGCGCTTTTTTGCTCTCATTCGATTACACTATTACCTAGAAATTTTTTATTTTTAAATTTGGCATCTCCATTGCTATCGGCACGCCCCCTTTTTCTCTGTGGCGCGAGTTCTGGGACACCCTGTATATATCCATTTGGTGCAATTTGCCAAATATATCTTGTTCAATAAATAAGTAATTAATTATTTAATTTTGGACAAGGTAAGTTTTGGCACGACATCATGGCATGAATGAATCGACATATTTTTGAGAAGTAAATTTAATTATATAAATATAAAAAAGTTTTTCTTAGTACCTATTTACTGTTTTATCACTAATTACATAAAAAATCACGACACAAAATGTCATCAGTGTTTGAAATCCAAACTTTGGATTTATATTTTCGTGCTATACGCATGCGTATACCAGTTAAAAAAAATGTTGAAAAAAACACGCTTGATATCACCATGAGTTAACCAGGAACTATCAAATGTTAATGTTAATGTAATATTATGTCATGTTAATGTCAACCTTAACATTGACATTTTTGACAAAAGAGGAGTAAAATTGTTGTCATTAGCACTTTAAGGCCTCATTTAAGGCTTACAAGTGCCTCTATAAATAACGCAACGTTTAAAACGATTTTTAATCTGTATAAACAGCACAAACCGAAAGCACAGTAATTGTAAACATAAAAATGGCCGCCGTTAAAGTATGTGTAGTGGGCTGCCTAACTTGATTTTTAGTATGCGCTAAACAATATAGAACCGACCCCTGTCTGTGGAACAGACCTTGTTCTGTGGATTGTGCAAAAAAGTATTTTTTATATCGTAGTTGCAATTAACTAATAATACAAGTTTTGGAAAGGAATTCGTATTTCACAATGATATGACTGATCACTTTTGGCAAAATTATTTTTTTGAACCAAATAGAGCTTAAGAAGAAGAACAAAATAGTGTAAAAATTACTAATTATTTGTAAGGTCTATGTGATACCTAACCAATATTAAGTAATTAGTAGTATTACACAGTAATTACTACATTTTTGCTTAGCACGGCAATAACACGTTTTTGATTCTTTGACTATTTGTTTTGTATTTGTATTTCATTTTTAATTAGCATTTTTGTGAAAATATTTTTGTGTTAATAACAATTGTAAACATTTTCTTGTTAGTCTAAATTAAAAATTGAACAAATAAAAAATATACATACATTATTTTTCCTGAATTAATATATTGACTCAAATTGTTTTTGCTTGCTTGGACACACTGCTTACATATTACCGAGCATATTACACACTTTTGCGGCACGCGATATTATAAGTCTACATTAAAAAGTATTATAATCTGTAAATTTCATAGACGGTTTCTGAAGGTTGTGAAAATTTTAAAATCTCCCAAAAACTGTAAAGTTCCTAAGAATCTACCTATAAAAACCTACCTTTCCTGAGATACATTATCTTTTAATATTTTTAAAGAATTTCTGTAATATCCTTCCAAAAGGGTAATACATTTAAATATACATACATATAGGTATGTACGTATATAAAAAAGTATATATTTAAAAAAAATCATTATTTAAAATACATGTTTCCAATATTATACCGGGTGACTTATAATAATTAGTCTTTATTTTATAACACAGTCAGAGCTGGCCAAGTACTGAGTACTTTTACTAGTATTTCAATTACGAGTAAAAAAGTACGAGTACTTTTTTACTCATAAGTATTTTTCATTTTAAATACTTATTACTCGTACTTACAAACCAAATTCAATGTACCCGTAAAAAAACTCGTGTAATTCACGAGTAATACATACGAGTATTTTTGTTTATTATATGGATGACTTTATGCCAAAATATCGTAAGCATCAAAACATTTTGTCTGTTTTAAATTATATAATATATAGTATAATATAATATATTATAGCCTATAGGTTTAATAACAAGTAAATAGGTAAAATTATAAACTATTTAAGAATTGTTATTATTTTATGTACATAATGTTTAAAATAAATAATTTTATAAATTTGTATTTGTATTTTTATAGCTCAGGACCAAAGTATGTATAATGTACACTCTCCAAAAATGAATTAGTCAAAAATGACTAATTACCACAGTTATTAGTGGAAATTAGTGAAAATACCGTCAAAAATTATGAAAGTGGAGCAGTTTTTGAGATATAGTCAATTCCATATTATATGAAAAATGGACTATATCTCAAAAACTGTTCTACTTTTTTAACTTTTGATGACATTTTCGGATTCAGGGAACAATTTTACATGGAAATTGACTGTAAATGTTAAAAATACAAATTGCTATTGACGAGAATTATTAGTGGCTGCTTTTTCGCTATGACAATTAGTCATTTTTGACTAATCCATTTTTAAAAAGTAAAGAATAATCAATTATATTAACTAACTTTTTTTTTCAAAAGTACTCGTAATCTTTACTCGTGTTTTCACGATTACTACTCGTAACCATAACCTCTCTTTACAAATGTACTTACGAGTAAATATTTTAAGTACCTGATTTTCCTCCCATGAAAATTTTTAACAGATTTTAAAAATAAAGGTTAAAAAAAGTACCTACCCATGCCTCACCGTTTCACAAAATCACGTCATTTAATGTTTTTACACAGCCACTCTTATTTTAACCTAAACAGATTTTTAATTCTCTATTTTGTTATAAATCATTTTTAGACTTCAACTATTTTATGTTTTTACATAATACAAAAATTATATATATATATATATTATAAAATTATATATATATATATTATAAAATTACAATTTTATTTTTTTTAAGTGAAAAAATATTTCTGGTTTTAATTTTTATTTTTTTTTAATAAAACAACAGATTTGTATTTATCTTATATTAAATATATGTTGGGAACAAATCTCGATCTTTTAGTTTGACGATTATACATTGCTTTCGAATCTATAGTGGTATCGCAACCTAAAACACCACTTGATATACAGGGTGTTTCACATTCGTGGTCCATTGAGAGTTTCTGAGGAACGGCAAAAGATATCGATTTGAAATTTTTAAAGCGTTTATAATCCAATTAAGCCTATTTTTCTAAAATATTTTAAACAAAACACCCGTATTTCGTAAATGTTTATAATTAAAATAAATAAATAATCTTAATGTTTGTCCATTTATTCAGTAAATAAATTTTACCATCGGCATACGAGTATATATTCAGTTAGGCGTATAATTTTTATTTTAAAATATATTACAAAAAATTTAATAAAAAATTTAAAAATAACCAATATTTGGAAAACTTTTTAGTTAAATAACTTTTTATATCCGCGATACAAAAGTCCTGCTACTAAAAAAGGGGCTATACTAAAATAGTAGTAGGGTGTTTACTAAATTCCGTTAATGTTTTCTAAAATATTCATATAATATGGATAATTTGGTTTAAATTTTTTTTAATTTTATTGGATTAAAACATAAATTATTACGTGGAAATCACTATTGTTAGTTTTAATCCTAATAAGGCCATAACCAAATAAAATAAAAATAAATAATTTAGTAAAAAGTTACCTTAGTACACCACGGAATATGCAAAAACAATTTGCCTGTCGCTAAACCTCCTAAGGCATTGTGTTTAAAAAAATGAAAAAACTTTTGAATTTAATGTTTTTCAGTAAAAGAACTGAAGTGAATTAGAACAAACTTATGGCACAACTATGTAGGTAGTAAAAAATTATATTTCGTTTATTTATTTTTAAAAATGGTTACCTTTATGTCTCCACCGCCCGGCACGTGTTTTAGATTGGCTGTGGAACCGACTTTCGATTTAGCTTTGTCTTTAAAGTCCAGCTTAACGCTTTCGATTTTTTTATCGCCGCCCTTAGGTTTGTAAGTTGCGTTTTCTAGTGAGCCTATTTTTGATTTTGCGTTCCATTGAAGCTTTGCAGATGCAATCTAAAAGAAATTACAGTGTTCTAACAACAATTTTTTACTTTAGTGGGATAAAATTACTTAATATATTAAGTAATACTAATAGTATACTAATTAAATGTGAAACAAAGTGGACAATAAATATCAATTTTAATATAATATGGGACGCGAACCCAGAAAAGTGACCTAGCATCCAAAAATCAAATTGTACATGCATATGCGACTTAATTAATAGCAATTGTTTAGATAAACAATTTTTTTGACCTTTCGAAAAATCGATTAACACTCTTATTAATAAAAATGATAATCTCGAAAATCATTGGACGCTAGGCCTTTTTGGTTCGCACATTTGAATCCTCTAGTATCAAAACCCCTTAAATCCGTTTTGATAAAAATGAGATACATGCATTAAAATATTCCTACCTATCAATGTGTGCATAGAAATGGTTGCAAAAGCCATAAAATATTTATAAAGACAAAATGAATATAAACATTTCGTGGCTTTTTCAACCATTTGAATACCCAAATTGACTGGTAGTATATTTTTAATGCATGGTTCTCATTTTTCATCAAAACGGATTTAAGGGGTTTTGATAATAGGAGATTCATTTATAGAATATCTATAATATTATAGGTATATTACAATACTAGTCAAGCTAATGGCAAATTTAAAAATGTTGTCGAGTAAGAAATATAATTACCACAAACATGATAAGCCCACTGGCAAATAGTTCTAAAACTGTTTATATTTACAACTATGAGCAGAACAGTGGTGGGGGATTTAATACGGTGAAATAACATCCCATTTGGAAAACTATCTGCTAATTTTGTTGTCTATAATAATTGTGTTGTCTATGCTTAAGCTAACACTGTATTTCTTACTGTGAATTTTCTAATTTTTTCTTACTTTTTTGTCGCCTCCTCTAGGGGTGTATCTGTCATTTTTGGCTTCAATTCTTGGTGTAACATTTTTAAAATCGATCTTCTTGCTTTCGATTTTAACTTTTCCACCACTCGGTTTGTAACTGGCGTTATCCAAGGATCCTATTTTTGATCTGACCACTTTCAAGTTTGGTGAAGGTGCCGATCCTACTTGGACCTTGTTCATGGGAACTTCTAAAATTTTAGTCATGCAATATTATTAAATAAAATCTTATTTTTTATAATTTTTCTGATTTATTTAAGTGTATTTGTTTGACAAAGAATCGAAAAAATCTTAAGATACGATATGTACTTAATATTAAATTTAGAATATATTTATTTGAAGTAATCTTACTTTTTTTCTCTGATCCTGGTGTGGTGGCTGTGGAATCTGGACTTAAGAGACTTGCAGGTGACTTTGATCCCCTTGATAAGGATCTACCTTTTGTTGGGGTGGCCGATGACACGCGGCTTTTGTTGACTTTTCTTGCAGATTCTCTGGCATCTCCATTGCTTGAGTGTTCCTTAAATTATAAAAAAAGTTTTGTAAGATTTTATATGATTTGAAATACAAATGTGGATATATTTTATAATTTATGATCTTTAAAGAATGTTTTTTCTTTAACCTTTATCTATTAATTTATTTCCCAGACAGCATAAGCTCTATTTTATGATTTGGACGTCAAATACAACATCAGAAAGAAGTTTCTTAAGACTTCGAATGCGCCACCTATTGAACTAATCAAGACTTCTCAAAAAAGAACTCTTGAGGAACCCTTTTCTTTGACTTCGCAATTAAGCATTTTAAAGAGTCCTACTGTATAAACTTATAAAAAGACTTCTTTAGAATTTTCCGTTTTGGATATAGAAGTACTACTAGGGTATACCCTAAAATTCTAAATAAGTCTTTTTATAAGTTTATACAGTAGGACTCTTTAAAATGCTTAATTGCGAAGTCAAAGAAAAGGGTTCCTCAAGAGTTCTTTTTTGAGAAGTCTTGATTAGTTTAATAGGTGGCGCATTCGAAGTCTTAAGAACTTCTTTCTGATGTTGTATTTGACGTCCAAATCATAAAATAGAGCTTATGCTGTCTGGGTTACTATATATATGTACTTTTTTTATAAAAATATTTAGGAAATCTTTAATATTAATATTATTTCGTAGGTACACACTATGTTTTTATATTTTTTATGTTTATATTCAGGGTAATGTTAATGTCAATTCGTATTAAAAATAAAAAATACTAAAATTAAAATGTTTTGCACAAGAATCTATACCTAAATATTAAAATTTAAAAAAATACACTGAACGGTAGACATTAACTTTTCAAGGTTAATTTAGACCATAATTTTGGTAAATTTTTGTAAATTAAAGTTTTTTTTTTATTAGCAAACATTGAAATATATAATTTATATCAAATACTTTAAACGAGTATTTTTTGTAATTTACCCATGTTTTTCTTCAGTCACTACTAAAATAAATGTTAAATGATTTAACATTTATTACTTACTGTTACCTAAGGAGTCTTACACGCGCTAGAAGCGGATATCACTGTAACAACCAATGTTGACACGCGGGTTTGATTTATAAGTGTCATTTTAATAATATTTATATATGTATATATTATTTATATTTTGTAAATTTCAATAAAATCGGACAAAAATTGTTCGCATTTTTTTTTGAAATTTGTTAAAGGGTCATATGACCCTAAAACCCTATAATATTATACTTTTAACGTTCTTCTCCATTTGTCACTTGTCCCTAACATTTCTTATTAAAAAAATAATAAATTAAGACAACTACAGTCATAAATAAGAACTTAAAATAATAAAAATTAATTAAAATTTTTTCAATTATACAAGGTCTCCCTAAACTTATTGGCATAAATTTAGGAAAAGATTGAGCAAGTAAAAATAAGACGAAAACCTAAATGAATATTTTTCCTAATTACTTATATTTCCAAGATACAGGGTGATAAAGTGTTACTTATCATACCAGTTTTTTTAATATAACTTCTACTATGGTAGTCTTGGAAAGCTGATATTTTGCGAATAGTCACTTAATACCAAAACACATATTCACACATAATTACAATTGTTTGAGTGAACGCAGTGTCGTAGAAACGGGGGTTGCTATAAGCTTATTGTCCCATACAAACTTTGAGGTTAGGTTTTTGCAACATTTGATGCAATTTTTCGATTACTCAGTTCGGCTACCATTAAAAAGGTGTACCTCTCAAACTTCGATAAAATAAACAGTTTTCGATATATTCGAGATTACAATAATTGTTATATCGAATTATTTAAAAGGATTAAAAGGTATATGATAACAAATTTTATTTTTTAATTGAAAAAGATAAAAGGGGTATTCCTTGAGCCTCGGGACTTTTTGCCCTGACCGTCGCATTAAAAAAATTGTAGTTTTTTCAACTAAAAAATTTGTTATCATATACCTTTTAGTCCTTTAATTCGAAATAACAATTATTGTAATCTCGAATATCTCGAAAACGGTTTATTTTATTGAAGTTTGAGAGGTACACCTTTTTAATAGTAGCCGAACTGAGTAATCGAAAAATTGCATCAAATGGTATAAAAACATAAGCTCAAAGTTTGTATTGGACAATAAGCTTAAGCAACCCCTGTTTCTACGACAATGTGTTCACTCGAACAATTGTAATTATGTGTGAATATGTGTTTTACTAGTAAGTGACTGTTCGTAAAATATCACCTTTCTAAGTCTACCATAGTAGGAGTTATATTAAAAAAACTGATATGATAAGTAACACTTTATCACCCTGTATCTTTTAAATATACGAAATTAGAAAAAATATTTATTTGGATTTTCGTCTTAGTTTGACTTGCTTAATCTGCTCCTAAATTTATGCCACTAAGTTTAGGGACACCTTGTATATAAAAATATTTTTAATGTATAAATTAAGGTTGAAAGTTAGCATCCCACTCTATAACCCCATGTCCCCATCATATTGGAATAGTGAAAACTTGGATGTATTTATAGGTTTTGTATAAAATATAATTCTAAATCTAAAATGAAATAACAAATAAGTGGTACCAATAAAGAATGTGATAAAATGTCTGTAAATAATTTTTTAATAGTGACCAAACCTTGTCCTTATATTTAATGTCTACTTCGTCACAAACCGCCTAAATAAAACCAGCTTTGTTATAAAATACACTGGAGTTTAGTATACAAAACTATACGGGACGTCAGCTTGGGACATTGCGGAAGTACTCAGGACGTCCCGCAATGTCCGTTTGACGTCCCTAGGAGGTCTACAGACGGCCAAATGATACACTTTCAGATGTCCGTAGGACGTCCTGATTAGGACTATGTCGGGATATACTCAAACCAGCTTATTAAGGTACTGTGAGGGCTTTTTGAGACTTTTCTTTGGAAATCCGCATGTTGTCATGATAACTATACAGGGTGTTCGGAATAGTGCCACTAGCACATTTAAAAGAAAATAGATTTTACCCTTAGCGGCTTGGCATCCATATTTGTTTCAGCCACCCAATATTATTGGATCTTGCTTTTGGTAGATTGTAAAGAAAACATTTTCTTAGCTTTACATTTGATCAGACTTAGAAATAACGAAGCCGAAAACCTTGTGTTGCGGCCATGATACTTTCTTCTTCTTCTCTCCCCTTCTTCCGCTGACGGATATGACACTCCCCTAACGGATATTAAACTTACGCGCTAAATTCAAATATTTAAACGTTCCTTACTATGACACCAACAGTTGGCAAATTCGGCAACTTTTGGAGCACTTCGAGTAACGATCGGTACAAAACGGTGGCAGCACAGTCGAAGCCAGCCGTATTCAAATTCAAATATGATATTATGCGCAGAAAGCAAAGTTATGCAGAACGATAAATGACAGGTAACAAATGACAAATGACAGGTATGATAGGTGACAAATGACAGGTATGATAGGTGACAAATGACAGGTATGATAGGTGACAAATGACAGGTGTTGGAAAGTGACAGATATCTGCCGCCTTGTATAATATTACAGGTGACAAATGAAGGTCCTATGGACGTCCAAGGTACGTCAGAAATGGGATACCCAATATACTATACCCAATTTAATTTCAGGACGTCCCAGGGACGTCCAAGGTACGTCAGAAATGGGATATCCTAAACTGGCCCGGACAGACCCAATCAGGATGTCCTTGGGAGGTCGTGTGCTATTTGGGTATTGTTATTTTGCGCGTTAGAAACAAGCAGCGTGTGTTTATGAAGGTTATTTTTCGTCACGGCATTTACTCAGTAAGTATTTTCTATATTTAATTTTCTTTTTCATGAAAAGTAAACCAATTTTTTTCTTTTTAATTAATGCAATGTTTTATGTGCATTTATTGTGTCACTTGAAAATTTTATTGTGAAAAATGTCTCCTTCGTCTTAGGTCTCTTTTGTCACACTGCACTGCTATCGCTAAGACATTAAAACTTTACTGCAGAGAGTAACATTAGAATTACCTTTAGTTTGCCTAAATAATAGAACAATGGATATGAAAATGTAAAATATTTATTTTTTAAATGTGAGTATACTATCCCTATGGATTTTGAGCCGCTGAATCCGAATCCGATCTCAGAATTTCCCCTGGACCCCCCAGTTTTCCCCTAGCCTAGGGGAAATGCGTGAAATCTTAGAAATTTCAGTATTTGTAAAAGCAATTTTGTTCTACGCAATATTAAATGAAACGATATTGTTTTCACGTATCTCGAGTCGCTTAGTTCGAATCTCACTGTAGAATTTTCCTAGAGTACCTCAGAATTTCACTAGCCTAGGGGAAAAAGTGTTAAGCTAAGCAAAACTTGCGATTTTTGGAAGGTTGTATTTTTGCGCAAGAAAGCTTATATATTTTCGTATTTTGAGTTCCTGAATTCATATCGGACGTAAAAAATGTGCAGAATTTCCCTAGCCTATGAAAAAACGTAGAAAATTGTGCAATAATCGAAGTTTCATGCAAGCCTTTTATCCAGCTTCTCACAATTACCCTAGCCTTTGCAAAGATAAAGGGAAAATTTCTTAGGAAAATAAAATTATAAGAAAATAGTAAAAAACATGTTTCAAAAATTTTAAGGACACTTCACTGAAAATCTTGGTGATTACAGTGAGGAAGGAGAACGTTTCCATGGTGCACCAAGATATCAAAGAAATGGAGCGTTATTATCAGGGATGATGGCAGATTTTTGTTGATTGTTGAAGGGGGAGCAAAAAAAGAAAGAGGAATCCACTCCGTCGGACGTTTGACGATAAAAGAACAAGGAAAATACAAACGAAATAATATCATGCAATTTTTTGTAGGTTCGGGCAATTGCGAGGAGCTGGATTAAAATTTTGATGACAGAAATTAACACGGCAACACAGAAGACGGAAAGATATCAGCCTTCCCTGTACGAAACAGGCCTGCATGAAACGATTTTTGCACAATTTTCTACGTTTTTCCTAGGCTAGGGAAATTCTGAAGTACTGTGGAACATTTTTCACGTCAGATATGAATTCAGGAACTCAACATACGAAAATATTTAAGCTTTCTTGCGCAAAAATAGAACCTTCCAGAAATCGCAAGTTTTGCTCAGCTTAACACTTTTTCCCCTAAGCTAGTGGACTTCTGAGGTACTCTAGGGCAATTCCACAGTGAGATTCGAACTAAGTGATATACGTGAAAACATTATAGTTTTATTGTATATTGCATATATAAAAATAGGTTTTACAGGTACTGAAAAAAGATTTCAAGTATTTCCCCTAGGCTAGGGGAAAACTGGAGGGTCCAGGAGAAATTCTGAGACCGGATTCGGATCAGCGGCTCAAAATCCATAGTGGTAGTATACTCCCATGCAAAGTTCATTCCACTTTTTTGTTTTTGTGGGCCAGTGTTATCATTAGCGTTGTAGTGTCCTGTCTGGATTTCTTTTGTAAAACTTTGTGCAAACAATTAGGGACAAATGAATCTCAAATGGAGTACAAAGCGTCAACTTTGGCAAGCAGCAAATTTCATCAGATTCAATTCATTACAAATGATCCTCGGTTAAAAATATATGAATTTGAATGTTTTTAAACAATATCTTAAAAAAGGCACAAAATCTTTAGAAAAGTCGTTGCAGCAAAAATAAATTTTTATTTTTTGGCTTATGTTTTTACTTACGTTTCCTTGTGTAGATTCGTCGACTCCACTATCATTGTCGCCTTCTGAAATAAAAGAAAAAGTATTTAATTCAAATGGATAATTCGTCATAATATTATTATTTAAAAAAAAAAACGAAAATAAGAACCTAGGGAAAAATACAAATGTCTATAAATATTAACCTGATTTGTTAGGAGACGCCAATTTAGGCGTGATTCTTGAAGCCTCTGCCCTGCTAGCAGGCCTGCTATCCTGCTTACTGGTTTGAGGCTTGTCTTGAAGTCCATTTGACCCAGACACAGAAGTATTTAATTCCGATTTATTCATAGAAAAAGTATCGTTATTAACGCTTTTATGCGAAACATCCGTTAATGAGGACGGAGATATATTCGAGGTAATGGACAGTTTGTCATCATCATCTTCCAGGATTTTATTCATATGCGACATCCTGGACTCTGGTCTGGATGAAGTTTCGTCATCCTTCTCACCGAGGCTTTCAACGCTCGCCACCGAACGCCTGCGTTCCTCTAAAGTTTGGGCCAAATCCTGTTGATCGGAGGAGTTCGATTGAAGGCTGTAGCTCCGATTTTTCATGGCCGCCAAGTTGGGCCTGGAGGACACCTCCAAGGGGGCTTCATTTTCCTGCCTTTGAGACGTGGATAATTCGCCTGGATCCAGCGTTTGACTTCTCTGTAATTCCGTCTTAAGTAATTCTTCCTCTGACAGCTGACTCCTTTGTAAACCCAAAGGAGGCGCTGATCTCTGCGGAAAAATCCCCTGGGGTCTCGGTGCAGAACCTTGCGGCGGCCTAGGAAATGGCGTCGGAGGTCTAAAGTTGGGCCTTTGCTGATTTTGAATAAACTGTCCTTGTTGATACTGTTGGAAACTCTGTTGCTGTTGGAACGGTGGCTGACCTGGTGGTCTATTTACGCCTTGCGGTAAAGGATTTCTCGGTACAAAAGGAGCTTGCACTCCACCAGGTCTTATTTGTGGCTGCGGTCTTATTTGACCCCCTGGGTTTGGAAATCCAGGTCGCACACCAGGAAATGTGCTCCGGCTATCTAAGCGGATCAATGGGGGTCGTGTCTGGTTCGGCAGGGGACCTGGTGAGCCGTTTTGCGGTTGAGGCGATGGGTGTCTCGACTAAATAATCATAATCATTATTTTATTTTATTTTTGTTTCCTAAAGTGCCACAGGTAAGAAATAGTGCATTATTGGAAAAACTACGTGAATAATTATGGTTATATTATTATAAATTGTTTTTGCTATTTATAAATTGTTAAATGTCAAAAATAAAATTATCCATAAAATTGTCGATGTTTTATTTCGATTTACATTTTTTAACAAAATTATTCTTTACTGTCTATTTACTTATTGCTTTTGTGTTTGTACTACTTAGGTATAAAGCAAATCTGACAGGTCACGTATAAATAAAAGTTAAAAGTGAATCGCAAAGGGTCGGGTTGACAATGATGTTTTTGAGCCGCGTGCCAGGCTCCAAACGAACTTTATTTTTTAGCGGGTGGCCACTTTTCAGGGGCGCCAACACAACATCGATAAAAAGTACACACGATCGCGGCTTACGAATTGCCTCTTTGCATACCATATTACTTTTACTATCACTTTTTATTTATTTACAACAGGAATGCTAATGAACAAAAATACAATTTAGGTTTTTTTTGTTGAAAAAAACTGCAACCAATAAAAATCATTTCTTTAAAATTTAAGGCAAATTTTATTTGTTAAACGATATATAAAACGTAGAATTATTAAAAGTAGAAAGTGAGGTTAAAACCGTCCAACAGAATTTTATGATTGGTCCAAATAATTGCATCGGCCTATCACTGGAACAACTAATTGCTCACCCATAATGGTTTGTTTGGACCTAGGCCATAATCAATTACAAAAGTGTCAAGTGTTCACGGCAATAAAGTTTAATTTATAGACCGCTTGTAGATAAACTAGTTTAATACTTCAGTTAACAATTGTGTCATGATATAAATGAGTTGTTTAGTTTCAAAAGCGGCCAACTCCAAAATTTTTGAGAAATGAGTTATTTACACCAATAAAATCGAAATACACCGTATTTTTGTTAGTATACCCTGAAAATTTTGTACAAATCAAACGAACAGTAACGAAGATACTTTTGATATTTTTTGCTTATTTTGCTGGAAAGTGGTCATTTTTGACGACTTTGAAGCACTGTATTTTTGATATTGTTCGTTTGATTTGCACAAAATTTTCAGGGTATACTTACAAAAATACGGTCTTTCACAGCATATTTTTTATTTATTTAAAAAAAATTCCCTATAAAAGTTTTGTTTGCGTTTTTTTATTATTAAATAAAAGGGCTTTCTCGAAAAACCCTTGAACACGTAAACTGAGATATAAGTTAAAGTATTTTTATCCAAAATTTTATAAAGTAAACGCGTTTTAGAATTACATTTTTTTTACTTATTATGCGTTAATTTTGACGGGCAGTTTATTAGACAGTATATTATTGCAAAATTATATCCTAACAAAAACGGCTCCAAGAAAAAAAATCATTAAAGTTTAATGTTTTAAGTACAAAAATGTTTTTTTTTAATTTAAATTTAAATCTGGTTATTTATTTTGTAAAAAAAATATTTTCCTTTACCATATGAACAAGTTTTTCAAAATATATTTTTACCCATTACTTTTTAGAATGGTTTTCTGCCATTTACTTAAAATATTTCTTAGAGGAGATGGCCGCTTTTGAAATTAGACGGCTTAAATAAGAAAATGTACGGGGTGATCCCCTATAATGTCGCCCCCCTTTAACTTTTTTATTTTAAGTTTCCCAAAAAATTTAAAAGTGTGGTTATGTAGGAACTAAAAAATACTTTTTTTCTACGTTTAAAGAAAATTGGAAAATTGATCAGTATACAGGGAAAAACAAAAAGTTTATTTTTTTTCAATGGATCACCCTATATATGTATTTATTTTTCGATTTCTTGTAAAATTCTAAGCATATTTTATATAACATACCATATACCTAAACTCAACCGTTTCTGAAATATTTAAATTATTTTTAAGATAATAAGTTGAAATAGTTTTTCTTTCTCTTTCTGAGTACGCCATTTTTACTTATTTAACAAGCCATATTGACATAGTGTCATTATAGTAATTTATTTTCAATAAAAATTTTGGTATACTGAGGCTTCTTGATTTCTAACAGTTTTAAAAAACATTTAATGATAACATTTCGAATGCGAATATTTCAGAAACAGTTGAATTTAGGTATATGGTTATTATATGAATTATTTTCAGAATTTTACAAGGAATCGAAAAATAAATTCATATATAGGGTGATCCATTGAAAAAAAATAAACTTTTTGTTTTTCCCTGTATATTGATCAATTTTCCAATTTTCTTTATACGTAGAAAAAAAGTATTTTTTAGTACCTACATAACCACACTTTTAAATTTTTTGGGACACTTAAAATAAAAAAGTTAAAGGGGGGCGACATTATAGGGGATCACCCTGTACCTATGCTCTTCCGCGGTCCAAATGTGAGGCAGTAGAGCTCTCATTTTAAATTTTTAGACACATGACATAGAATTGAGGTTACGTATCTGTCACCGACAAGAAAATTGAGTTTAGGTACCTTTCAAATTTACCATAGTTACAACCAAGGTTACAGATACAAAATGGAGGTAAGTGGTGGAAATGAGAACACCTTTTCATAAGTTGTGTCAACTTGTTTAAGGTGCAATTTTATTTATACCTAAAAGTAAAGTTGCTTCTACCTTAAATTCTACCTATCTACCTAAAATATAGCAAACAAATTATTTTTACAATAGTCTACTGCCAATTAACTAATTGTGTGACCAACTTAAGCATATACTTTTTATCAACAATTACTGGTGATTTTTTCCTCTAATTCTTACCACATCTTGATAACCATTTAAACTATCTTCTTTTGTAAAAGGAACTTTATTTTCAATTGTAGGCCCATTAATAACAGGATTGGGAGTTTGTTGCATTTTCAATTCAATTAATGTTATCAAAATTTTCTTTATGCTGTAATAATTTTCAATATTGTACTCATAAAATGTTTTAAATATCTTATACCTATCTTATACGTGTCTACAGGTTTGTGCTTTCTACCACACACCGTGTAGTACACAGATCTACAAAATTTAACCAATATTTTTTTAATCAGACTTTCCCTATAATACTGCCCTGCTAAGCTAAAACTCTGTATCTTCAATATTAAGTAATAAAGGACAAAAGATATTTTGTATTATTTTTAATAGTTAAAATGATTTTTTGTCCTTTATTGCTTAGCTCGGCAGAATAGTGGTATTATAATTATCGGTTTTATGCTTACAGGTTGCGTTGAATAAAAAGTCAATTCAAACGATTAGAGAATTTCACGAAAAGAAGAAAGGATATTATGGTAATATATCCTGGAATATTGAAAAAATGCGTTTTTAAATTGTATGTTAATTTGGGTTAGAAATTCTACAAAACCTCCCTGATAGCCCACTTTATTCTAAGAATGTTTTTAAACATTCCAGTGAGAATATTCTTAGGATCATGCTATATTTTTTCTAAAGAACATGCTTAAAAGACGTATGATCCTAAGAATATTTTTACTGGCCTATAGGCAGGTTCTTAGAAGGAGCAAAGTTTTAGTGGTAAAAATTAGTCTACTCTAAACATATGTTTAGAATGCTAAGAAAGTAATTGCTATAGAAAGTTAATTTAGGAATATTCCTGTTAAGCATATTTAGTTCAGTTACTATATAATAGTAAAATATACCATAAACTACGTATAAAGGTACCTATACTTAAGTACCTAATTAGTAATTAGTATTAAATACTAAGTAAATAACACAATCCAAAATATTGTTTTATAGTTATTTGTCAAATTAGAACAATATTCGATAACAAAAATACTTTTACTATAGGAATTTTATTTTATGTTAAAAATAAATATTATTAATTTGTATACCGATTTTTTATTTCTGAATTAACATATTTATGTATAATAATCCTTACTATCTTCAACTTCAATCTAATCTGACTTATCCCACAAAATTTTTCAATTTTACTTTTTATGAAATAATGCCATACAACTTATGGTTTAGAGGTCAAACTGTTTATTTAATATTTTTTAAATAAATATATATTAATATGTCGCAAAATATTTTAAGGGGACGACAAATACATTTCACTGTCATATTATGAGAGTGAGGCGTATTTGTCGTCTCCTGAAGAATTTTACGAATGTAGAATAGAATAACATATTAGAACGTGGGTATCTGACATATTTGGAAATATTCTCAAAAGCTTCCTACAAGCTCCTTAAGAAACCTTTTAAGAACATTCCAAAAACGTATGCTTTTTAGGAAGGTTTTAAGAATCTAATTGCATCATTAAAAGGGTATCTATTGAATGTTTTAAAAGTCCCTAAGAACATTCTTAGCAATAAGGGAAGGTTCTAAGAATATTCCATTATTCTGGGTCATATCTTCTAAAAAGATTCTTAAAATCAAATTTTGCTATCAGCTGATATACAATTTTCAGGACGAATTTTGATTCATAACGTCAAACCTTCAAAAAAATATGTTTTTGTTTAAAAATTTTGTAGACCTGTGCAATTTATTGTATGCCTATTTTAACGCTTTTTTATTTTATCGTTTTTAAATTATACAGGGTAACTCAAAAATTACAAAATCTTCATCTCTGCAGACATGTCAATTGCTTAGATTCCTTTTAAAGGAACTTTTAAATCAGAGTGTATTTTACAAAATGCCTTATAGTATAAATTAAATGATTAATGAAATGGATTTAAAACAGTGATAAAGCAAGCAAAATATTTGCGGGAAAGTCGTGCAGAATTTATGTTAAAATTAATAAGTGCATGTAACTATTTATTGGTTTTTCGTGTAGCACATGGCACATGGGACAGAAGAGTCTGCTGCATTCTACTAAACTAAAACAATGTGGAAAATATTGAGCAAACTTTGCCACTGCTAAAAATACCATTTTCACCAACATTTATTATCGTTATGTTTTCCATTTTATTAAGGGGTAATAAAGCTGAGGTTAAGTTAGTTAAAGTCTCAGACTTTTGGGATATTTTATGAGTAAGTTTTTAAGAATTAAATTTTAGTACCCAATTGATTTTTTAATACCAAAACCTTTCGTAAAATTATGCAATTTTTTAGTGCCTACTAAAATCTATATTGTTACATATCTTGTAATGTTTTGGGTTGCAAACAAACATAGTCAGTAATAATTATAATGGTCATTTATTTCATAAGGCTAAGAAGTGAGTTGAATGCCGACGCGAAGCGAAGGCCCACAATTGAGCGAAGAACAAAAAGTCTCTTCTCAGCCGAATAACATGCAATGTTTTATCTTAAAGACACTATTTCATTTGCTACACGACACATAAAACGTACAATTATAATAATAATTATTAAAAGTATAAAGTGTAGTTAGATTTAAATGACAGTAGTGGGATTTTTATTGGTCCAAACGGACTAGTGGGTAAAAAACTTTACTCGATTGGTCTAAATTATTTTTACAGCCTAGGCGATAATCAATCACTTTATACGTGCATGGCTGTAAAAAGGATTTTAAAGAACACTCTGTATCTCAAAAAATATGTTGACAATAATAAAGTTCAAATTATAGAACGCTTAAAGATAAATTCAATTATATTAAAAATAATGTGATCATCATCAGAGAAGCCAAATGTTTTTTTCTACTCCCACCTTTAAAACGCCCTTTATCGTACATGTTTCCATGACACCAAGTGACCTTTTAAATACACATTGACAAGTTATGGCTTTATGGCGCTTTAGTCACGGGCTGAAGTTAGCAACAGGTTTTTAGTCACGGGCTGAAGTTAGTTTTAAGTTAGTTGGCAGTTGTCAAATGTCATACAATCGTTAAAATAATGTACCTTTCTTGTAAATAATTCTAAATGTGAAAATTATTTTATTATCTCAATAAAAAAATACAAAAGTATTAAATAGTTTCTTAACGCCAATATTTGAATAGTTTATATGAACATTGTACTGACCTTTTAATTTCGCCGGCAGTAAACTATAACTTAAATTCGGGCACGGACTTCACTGTACAGTGCTCATAAAGTATTTTCTTTACTTTCACTGTAAAAAACTGTCAATTTCCAAGAAATACATTTCGATTTATAACCTTTATAATCTGTGTTTATAAAATATAAAAATTTGACATTTGACGGTGACACACAGATTCCCCTATTGTTTCATAGATGGCGCTCTACACAAACTTTTGATTTAAATCATTTTAAGATAATAATAAGTATTTGTCGTAGAAAAAGTATAGTATGCACCTCGTTTATAAACTTTTCTATACACTCATTAATTTAAGCACTGGCTCGCCAGCTCGCTCATGCCTAAATTAAATTCGTGTATAAAATGGCGTTTATCAAACTTGATACATAATATACTATTTTGTAATTTACATTTTTATGCATGTATAATACAGGTCTGTATTTATTTATCAAAGCTTATATCAAAAAATAAAAAATGAATTTGTTTAGTATCAACGAAAAAATATTTTATTTTAAATTTTTCAGATTAATAAAAAACTGTTACTTGACGGTAAGTAATTTATAAATTTTAAGGTAGTTGGTTTTCCCAATTTATTGATTTTTACCTACATTACTTATCCATATTTATTACTTTGCAAAAAACTATAATTTGCATAGAAAACGATATTAATAAATTAGATCACAAAAATAGATAAAATAGGAACTAATATAAAATTATCTATTTATCCAAATACTACACCATGCCATATTTTAATATTGATTAAGTACCTATTTATGTCGGCGCATTCGCCAAAATTGTCAATTTCAAATAATTTGGTTTGCAACCTGTTAAAGCAAAGTTTCAATTTTTAATTCTTTATAACGTAAATGTATAGTTTTAAGTATAATTTAAGCAGGCTTATATTGCCACTCCCACTTTAGAGGCAAGCCAATCAGATGTCTAGTAGCAAGGGGGGTTAAAACCACCCGAACTGTAGGACGACAATCGCAACATTCAATTCATTAAGCAGCATTGAAACACATGGGCAGTATCGACTACCCAAATTGATCGCCAATGATCTAGTTTTTATTTCACTTGTTTAAATAGTTTTAGTTTAAGTTTTGTGTAAATAAATATCTACTTAAAAACCATACACTATTGTGGTTTTAATCAACAATACAACAACATCAAACAAACACAAGCATCGTTTTAAGGTCCTTCGAGCAACAATATAACAACAAATACCAAACAATAAACACAACCTTTCCTAGAGTATTTATTAATTTTCAACTTTGTTTGATTTAATTAAAGGCTGTATTATTATATAATTTATAATGTATATTCCTCTAAGGGTCAAACAAATCTGGCACGTAAACAAATAAGAAATAAATAACAAATGCCTAAATCGATTTTAATCTTGATTCCAAAACAATACTACCTACCGTAGGTAACCTACGCGAATATTATTGAGTGGGTTGGGTAATAACAAAAGGTCTCATAATTTAAGGGTGACATTAAATTAAATAATAATAATAATAATAATAATTTATTGAACACATTTTTACAAATAATTTCACATGTACATAATTTATTTATTCCTATTCGCACCTGATTTCATATGAAATCGTGTCGTGCTTAGATTTTAATAACAAAAACAATATTCGAGGTGTGTGTTTTTAACAAAAAAAATTAACAAAATAAAAAATTAAATATAATCTGTAAATTGATAAACGAATATTAATTATACCATATACAAGTAAACAAATATTTTGAATGAATGAAATTTTACAGAATCTATCTTATAAATAAATTAAATTTTGATTGTATAATAATAATTATTATTATTAATATCAACCATAAGAAGTATTTTTCGAGTGCGCTGAGTCAAAAATAAAAATAATAGTATATTATGTATCAAGTTTGATAAACACCATTTTATACACGTATTTAAT